TTTTTTTTTTGTTTTTTTTTTTGTTGTTGTTTTTTTTGGCAGTGAGGTATTCTGTCACCAGTATCAAGTTCTACTCCTCCTTTCCCTTCCACTTCCACATCTTCAGCTTTATTGGCCAATTAGAATGTAATAGAATTCTGTGCATTCTGACTAAAGCAGGGGCCCAATCTACTTGTGATACAAACATTTTTTTTACCACAAGTATTAATATTACCAAAACTGTATTTAACTGTGCTTCTCATTGGTCTTGCTCTGATCAACAAGTGCTCGCATTTTGTGTGCGAAATTCAAAATCCATGATGCAAGGCTGCTCTAGGCGACTGTATGGGGTACAGATAGCACACCCATACCGGAGGAGGGGGAGGACAGTTTGCCGGAAGGTTAGTATAGCAGGGGGGGGGGGGGGGGGGGGTTCGCGGGGGGAGCGCATCACAGGACCTGGCCTTGGGGCGGCAGGGAGAGTAAATCCGTTTTTTCATTGCAGTGTGTAATTCCATTTTCCCCAAAAAAGTGAACTTACCCTTTAATGCACATTGTGTGTGTTAGAGGGCGCTGCTCCCCGGCTACCACAATGTGGTGGACACAGTGGAATGGTGCAGCATTCACAATGTCCTATGCATGTGTTTATTTGCATGCAGATGGTGGGGGCAGCAGGCTTGGTTTTATATGTTTACTTCTTTTAATTTTTTTCCCCTGTGCGATAGCAATAAAGTTAACAAGCTCATATCTGATGTCATTCAGAGGTGACAGGTTCTCTTTAAGGAACCTGCTCTCCAATTCTGGTGTTTGTGCACACCATTGTGCTGGATCACCTGTGACAACTGAGACAGGAAGGCTGCGAGTACAGCACTCCTGTCTCACTGCTCCCAGAACGGCTTGGAGATTGAACATTCTCCGTCCTGCTCCCTGCTCTCCATCTTCAAGTAGTGTGCTGGGGACCCCAAAAACTATGGAGAGGGTGGAGGGGCCTGCAGGGGGCATGGACCATGGCAGGAGGAGGGGGTGCGAGAACAGGCAGACTGCTTACAACTTATCTGGGCGGCTGTACAGAATAAAATGACTTTCCTGTTGTACATTTAGCCCTGCTGCTTGCAAGTAGAAGAAAAACACCTTCTAGGCACCCATTACTTCATGTCCTGGATGTCAAGTGATAGGAATTTTGCACTCATGATGCAGATTTAGGGATGTGCCTCCAGTTGATATGCTCCCTCCCCACACACAAATCTCTCCACTTGGTGATATAGCTGCCAGGCAGCCTGTATGATTCAGAGGGTGCCCTCCCCGCACACGCATAGAAACCTCCCCATTTCCTGCTCATATTGCTGGAGTTACAGCCTGAAGATATGATGGACTGTCAACAGCTTCTATGCTGCTGCCCTTGTCTCCTAAGTCTGCTGCCTGATCCCTGGCAGGTTACACAGTGTAGTAAGCGCTCAGGTTTTTAGGCAGGCCTTCAGTCAGAATCTCCAGCAGTGTAAGCTGGGAAATAGTAGGTTCTGTATGTGGAGGGAGCACTCCTAGCAGCATCCAGGCTGGCTTGCAAAATCTCTGTAGCTGTTGCTTAGCGCACGTACCCCTGCAATTCACCTGCGGGATGCCCTACTGCTGCTGTGCCTGTGCACAACTCCCACCCTACCTGTCTACCTGCTGCCACAGCACAGCCTTCACCAATGTACCTGTACCCCCCAACTCCCATGCTTGCATGCACACGCCACCTCCTGCACACTGTCCACCCACTTTTTCCACTACCTTGACAACCACAGCAATTCCACCACAATCTGAATAACATGATCCATCCTATTCCTCTGCCCTCAACACACCAGCACAGCCTCTATTTCACTGTCATGCCTATTTCCCTTTCTGTCACCACTGTCTGAATTCCCCTTTTGACAACTGCACCTGTGCATGCTTCCCACTTCCCTCACTCAGTTGTTTGTCCAAGCACCTCAATACAATAACCCATTCCTGCTTTCCCCACCCCTCTCTTACCACTGCACATTCACCCTTCCTCCCACCAATGCGCCTTGACTACCTCCCACCTCTCCTGTAGGTCCATCTCTCGCCTCATGCCTACACTAAGCACTGCACCTTTTAAGTATGCTGAGTTTTTAATGATTACAATGTCACAGAATAATGCTGTATTTTTCTGATTGTTGGTTTAGTACCAATTGGTTCTAATGTATCCTCCCCCTTTTTTTTTATTTTAAGATTAATAACTTTTATAAGCAGGAGTCTCCTCATGGATCCAGAGCACACCCAATGGGCCAGCAGCCTAGTCCACCATCATCCAGTTATACTCCGACCAATAGCTGGTACAGCCCAAGCAGCAACCATCCTACTCCACGTCGATATGAGTCTCCCCCTGAACACAGAAACTCAAGAAACATTGCCTCTCACCCTTATAAAAACGAACAATACTACAACAGAGATGTGTATAGCAGAGTGGGTCAGGAGGAACACCATCATCGAGGCCATGCTCAGGAGGAACACCATCATCGAGGTCATGCTCAGGAGGAACAACATCATCGGAGTCATGCTCAGGATGAACATCATTATCGAAGCCGGAGGCAGGAGAGATTAAGTCCAAATCCAAGGAAAGAACCAAGATGGGGTCCACCTCACCATTAACCTGTCCTATGTATCTCAATGTTCCCTTTAATGTATTGGTTTGGAGATCGTATTATTATATACTCAGACTAGTTCTGCTGTATTATGGGGGATATTGAAATGTAAGTTTAGCTCAGGAATATATATTTGAGCACATACCTTCTAGATTTCTATCTTTTTTTTTTTTTTCTTTTTTTTAATCAGTCTATGGAGGTTTTTAGCTAGTTTTATCAAGTATCAAGTAACTGGTTCCTGTTTGTAATTAGAAAGTGTTCACATTATTCCTACCTGTGAAATATTTTCTTGTCCCTTTCTGAGAGGGCACCCACAGTATTTTACCAATTGGTGTCGGCTATGATTTAAATCACTATTGGACAACCTGCAGAAAAGAATCCCAGTGATCACTAACAGCACCAGCATCGTTGTGTTATTGTAATGTGTTGGGGACAATCTGCTGTGTAGAAAGAGCCATATAATGTTGAAGGATCTACTCGTCTTATTTTACATCATTTTATATGATATTGTTGATCATTTCTTTTGATAATCTTTTAGAATAGTGACTTGTTTTATCGCAATGTTTTACCAATTTTTGAACTTAAAAAAAAAAAAAGAAGATGTTTAATGCTTTTAAAGCTTTCATTTGATCATTTTTAATAGCACGTTGGCTTAATGTTGAAATGGCAAAATATATTAATTTGTACGTTGCGCTACAGTGATTTCATATTTGGAAAATATAATGTAATCGGCTGTACAGTGTTGTGTTTAAAGTGTATTTTGTGTGTTTTTGTTTTAAGTCACGAGTCCATTATTTTCAGCTACCAAAAGTATTTCCCCACTCAGAATGAATATTTCTTTTTTGGGTACCATCTGCTGGCTTTTTAAATCTGGCTGGCAATACACTTGTGGTGTTTCTTCTCTTCCAAAATGCTTCCCTGTCGGGGTATTGTTTTCTGACGCCTGCAGCTCTCAGAATTTCTGAACGGTGACTGGAGCTGATAGGCTGCAGACACTGTTCGGCCAACAATTATTGGCTTTGCTCCTTTAACTAAAGTTGAAGGCTGCTAGGGCCACACACAACTTGAATATCTGCCTAGTCAGCAGGATTTGGCTGAATGTCGAAGTTTATGGCCAGCTTAGACTCTTTTCTCCCCCGCCCCCTGCTGTTTCCATTACAAATTTTTCTCTAATTTAACAGAAGAAAATGCGGCAGAAAGAGTAAAGTTGGGAACATATGTGTCTATCATTTATTTTTTAAACCCACAGGCTGAACAATAAAAAAAGAAATTGAACAGATTCCTCCAACGCTTCAGAGCGTTGATAGATGAATCCCGCACTGTTTGCATTATATTCTGACAGTAGCCACTGTCTGAATACCTAAACGGCCCTTGCAGCTGACTTACTGCAAGCTCTGTTAAGCTGAGCATTTTTAAACCGGCTCCTTCAATCAGCTGATTGTGGAATGCCGTGCGAAAGCCTTTGACTGTGTGGGCAGAAAGTGTCAGATGAACTGAAATATTAGCTTTTAGGACTAGCAAAACAAGTTAACAAAAGTGAATCATAGATGAGTGCCCCTAAGGAAATGTCAGCTCCTTAGAGAAGAAAGGTCTTTAGCTGTGCATCAGCCCACCTGGACCTAGCGTTAAGCTGGCCGTACACTTATAGATTATCTGCAGATTTTCTATGGTCAGATGGGGAAAGTGCAACAGACGCCTCCATCTACGCTAAACTGTGTGGATGGAGGAATCTCCCACTGGGCCAAGCTTCTGTATCTTGCCGAATATCAAGATACTGAAGCTTGGCCCAGTGTGAGATTCCTCCATGCACACAGTTTAGCGTAGATGGAGGAATCTGTTGCACTTTTTCCATCTGCCCATAGAGAAATCTGCAGATAATCTATAAGTGTAGGGCCAGCTTTACATATCACATATCTGTCCCATTGTCTACACACCTTCATTTATCTCATAATCCTCAAATTTTTCCTTTTTTTTTATTTTTGGCTAGGGAAGGAAGAGTTTACCTCTGGCAAATTTTATTGCTGTCTGTTCCTGTTCCGTTCCTTGACATGTGTCAGTGAGCACATGTGCAGCCATAAAATCAGGGCCTCTAACCCTTCCCCACTCTGTCCCAGGGAAAGTAAAATGTTTGGGTTAGAGTTTCCATCTGAATGTTAGTAGTAGGAACTCCCTATATTTCCCTTCTGAAAAGTAGGGGGAAGGAAAAAAATAGGTGAGGTGAGAAATGAGCTTCATTTGGGCTTTTTGTTTTTATAGTAACTCAATCGAGAAAGCATGAAATGGAAAAACAATTGTCAGGCCGAAACGGAAAATGTTTTCTATTTTAATTTTGTAAATATTTAATTTTTATTCATTTTTTTTAATTAAATATTTTTATTTGACTTTTAGGGGCTTTGGGGAAATATTAGCGATCTTAACAGATCCCTGATATTTGCCTTTTAAAATAGAAAAAGAGATTAAGGGCTCTGTGTCCTCAATCTCTTTTTCTGCAGCCCCAGTTATCAATGAACAGCAATCCTCTGAGTGTTCATGTTCATTGATAACAAGAGGACATGGTGTGTTTTACTATAACTACAACTATGAATGAACAGGAGGGAATGTAGATCACTTCCCATTCATTCATACTTGAGGATATAGTAACCATACTCTGTCCTCAATTATGTACTAACACTCAGCGATCACTGAGTGTTTGCGGTTGCTCTCCATCCTGACACGCTGTCACAGGAGGCTGAGTGAGCGGAGAGCTCTACCTCCTGTGACAGCACGGCCTGTCTCCATCCCCACACCACTCTGCTGGACTGTGATAGGAGGCTGAGCGGTGTGGGAGGAGAGACGCCGGCCGCTCACAGCGCTCGGCAGGCTATCGCACTTTCCTCCCCAGTGGGGCACAGAGCAGCGCCCAGCGGGGAGCAAAGAAAGCAGGGATGCACCGGTGTCTGATCCTCCAGCGCTGACTGGGGGAATGGGGTGGGTACAGCTGACTCTGCCTCTAGATAGGCAGCGCCAGCTGTCACTCACGCAGCTGTGTGGATCCAGACAGAATTGTCGGGATCCTTTCCGGCTGCGGCGTCTCAGTATACCGCAAGCTGTAGCTTGCGGTATACTGAGCTTTGGGTAACGGGAGGACGCTAGTTTGTGTCCTCCCGTTACCCTTAGGAGAACTATGGGGGAAAGCTCTAACCCCATAGTTCTCCTTTTAAAGCTTGAACTCAATGCAGATATAAAAGACAAATGAATGCATCTGCAATGTGATCATTAGTATATCATTAACAGCCCCGATGCTGGCGACGTACACTGTATGTCGTCAGTCACGAAGGGGTTAATGACCTGCTATCTGCTTTTAGTCCCAGTACAACAGGCCTGGAGTGTGAGAGAAAGAGGCAGCACAAGGAGCCATTCAGTCATGTTGGCATGCTGATAGGAGCAGACTGACAGATGAGCTCATCACTGCTTCTCCTTTCACTGTCCAGTCACAGGCTGGGAGCAGGTCCAGGATGACCTAGGCTCAGGGAAGAGGGTTGAATGATTCCTGACATCAGACTAAGGACACCTAGTGACAGGAAACAAAAATACTGCAGGGGAAATGCTGACTGAAGGTGACTTACTCCAAACCGTTTTTGCTTTTTTATTTGATAATTTCAAGAGCTTCTCATTTTAGCTGGAGTTCTGCTTTCATCACATCTGCTTTCAAATAGGTAAGGCCTTGTTCACACCAAAAGCAGAGCAGATCTGCTCAGGTTTCTGCACACACAATGCAGTGGGTTGTGCCGTGTTTTTGATGCGTTCCGGGCCGTTTTTGGTAAAAACATGGGCTTTCAGTGCGTTCCAGGCATTTGCATAGGGTTTTGATGCGTTGGCAGATCCAGAGCAGGTAAAAAAGGGCCTGCTGCAGTTTTTTTTACCTGCTCTGGAACTGCACGCTGCCATGTGAACTGGAGCTAAAAATACCATTGGAATACATTGGATGCAGTTTTGATCCGGTCTGCAACATCTCTGCACCTGCTCCGCGCTTGGTGTGAACAAGGCCTAAGGCCCCGTCCCCACTGCGCGATATGCAAATCGCGCGTTTGTCCCGCGATTTGCATATTGCGCGACATCGCGAGATTTGCCGCGCGATATTGCGTTCAAGCTTGCATTGAATCGCGGCTAAATCCGCTCCAAAAAGGGTCCTGCTGTAGCGACACACGACCCGCGACAGCAGGACCCTTTGCCCCATTGAAATGCATTGGAGCGGGATATCGCGCGGTAATTTGCAGCGATATCGCGGGAATTACCGCGCAATAAATCGCTCAATGTGAACGGGGCTTAAGAGTCATGCTCCTGTCCTGTGTCGCCCCCACCTGACAGAGCCTATTATGCCCAGACCTAAAGGACTGATTCACACTAAAGTCCTGGTTTCTGTGCATTCAGCACATGCCATTGCACAGCATAATGCACTTTACACTAGGCGCCCTGCATTGCCATTCATTCTTCATGGTATCCCGACGTGCCTCAATGCGTTTAGGGATGCCATGTAGAACTATTTTTTTCACCGCACGGCACTCTACTGCAATACACGCCTACTGGAAGGTGCATTTGGGGCAACCAATCAGTTTCTCTTTCAAATCTTAACTGAAGACGGAAGCTGATGGGTTGCCCCCGGCAACTGCTCTAGATTTTGTCTGCTCCATTTTTGATAAATCTCCCCTCATGGAAATCGTGACTTTAGCGCAATGTCAGTTCTTAATAGTCTCAAATCCACCTTGTACAACCTACAACGAGAATAGTGAAATAGTCACAGAAAGTCCAATGAAATAATCATCACATAGATGAGAAAAGCTGATTAGAGACCCTTATCACGTGACGGCATCTTATAGTCACACACTGCATCATTGGAGACAACAGAACTAACTCCCCAACAGCCAGCCCAAGTCACAACACCCGCCCCCTTATACAGCTGGTCATGTGACGGTGACGTCACGGAAGGTCCTGTAGGGCGCCGGGTGTTCTATCTAAAGTCCCACCGGTGTCGTGCGGTATTTGTCTTGCCGGTGGTCGTGGTTTATGTGTCGGGCGCAGTTTACGGTACCCTGTGAATGTTTCCTTCATTGTGACATTGTAGGATGCTGAGTGTCTGCTTCCTGTCATTGCAGCTTCTCCTGTTCTGTGAGGTTCTCTATGTAACTTACACCCAGTGCTGGTTGATGTATCTGTAGAATTCCGTTCTGTCAGACCATGTGTATTCCCAGTCGCACCTTTTGTCGCTCAAAGCTGAGTAGGACAGAGCACTCAATACAATATTTCTATGGCCCGGTTCACACATGTGCGTTTAGTCACAAGCAGAAAAACGCACCTGTCGCTGGTAAAAGAACGTGCTAAGTTTTGGTTCAATAGATTTCAATGGGAAGCTTTGTGCGATAGCACGCTCGGGTGTGCACAGGGACCATAGAAATTAATGGGGCGCCTTGTATTGAGTGTTTTGTGTAGGATTAGCCAGGTGCGCTAACGTGTCAGTGTGCTTCTCTTTGTATGTTGACATCTGTTTTGACGTGCGTTTCCAATGCATTGTTAAATGTAGGCTTTGAAGTGGAAAGGGTTAACAACCACTGATCAAGGCGTGTTACTACGTGTTGCCAATGCTTCAAAATGCACGTTGGATGCATTGCCATTGACCTGAATAAGCCCTCCAACGCAATAAAATGCAGACGCTTGTTGCATGCAACGTGGGGATGGGGGAATCAAGCGTGTATGGTCTGCAATAAAGAAGATATACACACCTGATCCTCGGTCCTGCTGGACTGCTAGACCGGTCCCCACGGCTTCTTCTCTCCTGGGCATCAGCAGTCTAAAGCTCGTGACACACTGCATGTGAAGCCGTGTAGAGCGAAGCAAAGCTGTCATGCATGCAGTGTGTGAGAGTAGTGCAGTCAAAGGAAAGACTGGATCTTCCTTCAGCCAATCGGCTTGCGCGTAACAACCAGAAGGAGTTCGCAACATGACGCATGAGCCGATTGGCTGAAGATAACATTTTTCATCTTGGCACACTCAGCTATGCGAGCTGTCGTGCAGTGTGTCACAGCCTTTAGGACTGCTGACGTCATCACATCTTGTACAGTCCATTGACCTGCTTCGTCCAACTAATCGATTTTGAAAATAATCGTTAGCTGCAGCTCTACATGAGACATGAGGGTGCTGACCCCCAGCGGGATGAAGGATCAGGTGAGTAAAACTGCTTTCTTTGCGTCACTCAGACAAAACAAGCCACACAGCAAGGGTTGGTTTTTTTAAATCCCTGGAGCTCCTAGTGCATGCGCGATTTTTTGCGATCGTACCGCCCTGGAACGCAGGGCATTTTATTATCACGCGGTCCTGTGCGGCCGATCGCTCTGTGTGCAGGGGGCGTGTCTGCAGTGCCATTGAAATGAATGGCACTGCCACGCACCCTCCCGCCCCAGAACACAAGGAGACTTTGTGTATGCGATCCCTGGCATTCTGAGCATGGGACATTGCGATGAGCGCACGGGCTGGTGGAAACGAGCCCTCACTTAAGCCGCAGTCACATGATCCTCCTGTACCCAGTCTCCTCTCCCTTCGTTTACTTATGGCGGGGCCCTTCTTTGGGTGCCCATGTTACTGTCTGGGTGTTGTGGACACTTCCTTTTGGCTATCCAGAGGTGGGGTCCTCTCAGGATCCAGAATAGTAGTGACGGCAGCACGAGGGGACGGTAGGGGACCAACCGTCTCGGGCACATCTGCGCTGCTGGTTTAGAGGGAGTGGGAGGGGCTCATGTTTTGGCTGGAAAGGGCCAAGCATACAACAATAATTAAAGATAGACATGGAGTTGGCAGTAACATAACGAGGACAACTCTATGTCATGTCCCAGCAGCACACTGGAGGTCAGGACTGCTGCTATGTTTGGAAGCAGTGGTCTATCTCCAGTGTTCTGACACGCATCCTGCACAGTCACAACTACTCTGCTCACTCAGTAACACTTGCACTCCCTATGCAGTCAGCCAGACCGCTGGTCATAGACTGCTGCTGATCTCCAGTGTACTGCTGGGGATGGGGAGATTGGGATAGGGATGGAGCACTATTAGACATTTGAAGACTTCACTTTGTATGCACCCCGACATTTAAAATAGAAAAGCTGCAATTGGGCTTTAACATTTTGACATGTATGTTATGATTGATTCTATTTAGGTGAGTTGCTAGGACATGACACACAGGTCTACCTCTCATGTACCTGAAATTGTTCTGTCATTCCGGAGCAATGCCCATGTATAAAGTATCAAATGATAGGAAAAGTGTTTGAAATGCAACAACATATGCTAATATGCACTGATTGTATTGCTGACATTCTGAGCTGTAATATTGTCTTCTGAGCACTAGATGGCGCTGTAGTGTAATTCTGGTCTATGGTAGTTTTCTAGATGCATGCTTATATATCTATTATACACAGGAAGTTCTATCTGTGTATATGTTTTCCTCTCTACTATGCTGTATTCCTGTATACATACTTGTAACGTCCTGCTAAGCAAGGAAAACTTAATTCAGCATTCCTCAAGATCTCAGTGCTTCATCTAAACACATAACCAACAAAAAGGTCCTATGCATACTTTATTTTCCACTCAGTATAAGGCTTGTTTATACATGTACAACAGTTCCTCATTTTAAACGCATGGTTAGTCATGATGTATGATGTTCATTTTGTTGATAAGAGAATTACAACATGTTTTAATGTTTAAACTTTCTCTTTTCCTGACAGCTTTGAAAGGCTAACTGTATGAGGTACCTCAAAGACAACAATGCGGTCGTTTCGTCAGGTTGGGGAGAAGCAGTTGCCCCATGAGATCATATTTATGTCATGGTCACCCAGAAGGGACCTAATTGCACTTGTTAACAAAACTGGAGAGGTAGGTTATATGTTGGTATCACCACCTACTTAAATGCAGCAGTATGTCATTTGTATACCAGCAACTTGCCTATATGAGCCATTACGGGTGTGTAGCCAGATGCAAACTTACACACTTTTATTCTATCATAAAAAAAATTGCAAGATAAATCCTAAAACTAGTACTTTTATCAACTGCCTAGGTTTGTCTGCTCCTAAATCAGTTGGGCCCCAAAGGTAATGTGGGGGTCAGCAACTCAGTGGTGATATAGTGCTCATACGTTGGAATGACCGCATACATTGGGGGAGACAGTTATCCAACATGACCAAAATTTGTGACTGCTGAAGTTACTGATGCAAGCTGTAGTGCATCAACAGAGTGCAGATAGGAGACACAGACCTCTGGATAGGTAAGTATTCTACATATTCTTTGCAGGGAACTGCTTTTTGGATTTTTGTAGAATGACAGTATTGCTTTAAATTGGTTGTGATAAATAATCTGTATATAAAATAATTATGTTCATATATTTTCCTTTTAGGTGTTGCTCCATCGCCTGGCAAATATTCAGAGGGTGTGGAATTTACCCCCAAATGAGAATACAGGGAAAGAGGTGTCATGCCTGGCATGGAGACCTGATGGCAAAAGTAAAGTGGATCGGTTATGTTTTATATACTCCGACCATTTTGGTTTTTGTTATGAAAGTGTCTTAACATAGTAATTTTGGTTTACACTTCTAGTTTTGGCTTTTGGCCTGGCTGATACCAGACGTGTGGTACTCTGTGATGTGGAAAAGCCTGAGAGTCTACATTCCTTTTCTGTAGAAACAACAGTATCCTGCATGCACTGGATGGAAGTAACAGAGGAAAGTAGGCAAGTGCCTAAAGGTTGGGGTTAGTTTGTCCGTGGATACGCAGATATCTTATTGAGAACAATGTGATATATGTTAAAGTTAAAACTAAATGATGGCCCAAACTATATCTTTACCTCCTGGTGTGTGGAGGTATACCTAATGGGTGTCGCATAACTGACATACAGTATGTACATGGGTGCTAACTGTGTGTGTGTGTGTGTGTGTGTGTGTGTGCATGTGGGGATGGGGAGATACAAGCAACTATACAGCCACCAAATCACTTCTGCTAAATAATAATAAGCCAGGGAATTCATTTTAAAATGGGTTCATGGCTGCTACTGTGTCTGTGACCTTATATTCATCCTTTGCCCAGCTGGAATGGTTATGGCAGGGGTAGTAAATGGTTTAAAGCTGTTAACAAAATGCAGTAACTTGCATTAGCTATTCAAAAATAATTTAGTTTTTGCTGTTAAAGGGAATCTGTGCTTTGGTGCATTGCCCATACAAAAACAGGTTGACTTTAATAGTGGATCCATCTGCAACATATAGCTTCCCATTGCTCACCTGCAGCTCTGTTTGGCTACCAGGAGCAAATACATATCTGGCTTGGGAAAGCATGTGACTCACCACCCTCCCTGCCACTTGGCATGGCTGGTGCCCAGTTATTGACCCTGTGCTGTCATGGGGATATGGAGTCGTCAGCACTATGTAAGCTCCGTGTCATGGTTTGGAGCTTACACAGAGATCACTCTCTACTCCTGGTGATGTTCTCACTGTGTATACATTTTTTTTCTTTTTTTTAAATGTAAGCATCTGTAAATCAGCTTTATCATATATGCACAAGGGCATCTGTAATGGTTGCAATTTGCTGATTGTCTTTTCTCACTGCAAATCTCAAAGTTCAGGGTCTCTCCAAATACAATGGAATCTATGTAGTCTATGATCACATAAAATAAACCTAATGCTCCTGGTATCCGGACATGATGTGATCTTGGCCTAGATTAGAATGTGGTTCTGGTGACAGCTCATTAAATTTTGGATCCTATGATTTTTTTATTTTTTTTGTCTAGATGATGGTGGTCATCAGGCCAAATAGACCTATCGGGGACACAGACGGCAAAAAAAAAATTGACGGGTTCTGTTCTTTCCCTATTCTAGACAAAATCAAATTAAAAAAAAAAATACATACATACACTCTAACAGTTTCCTCAACATGTAGCACAGGTTTCTGTTGTAAGATTGTGATCACGCTTGGACAGATGACACTACTGTTGAGATGTAGAAAGTCATAAAAACAATTTAGACAGGCCCTTATGTCAATGGAATCCAAATTACACTGTACTCAAGTGAATGATCGCTATAAAATGTGACTCAAATCTGACAAGTTTTGTCTAGGATGTACTTTTCTCAGAAACCACTACACTCAAATGTGGAATATAATAAGGTGATAAATATCTGCAAGAAAATAAAATCTCAACAAAGGTATAAACCCGTCATGTACACAAGTTGCATGTGAATAAAACAACAAAGTATAAAGTAACATAGTATATGTCCTTAAAAAACTGTGAAAAGTGATAATCAAAAAGTCAATATATCCATAGGTGAAGATTTATAATGTTCCGTGCGTCTCAGTGCTCCACGTGTATTGAACAGAAAAGGTCCGCACTCATCAGATAGCCTTTGTAAACGCGCTTAGGGTATATGCAATTGTTGGTCTGCCTCTCAACAATCCCTTTGAGAGACGTTTGGCAGCACCACCTTCTCCGGCTCTATACAGATAAAAAGGCCCACGACTTCTCCACTTCAGGTCTCCTCATAAAGGAGGTCCAGAAAGCAACCAAAAATAGCTCAAAGGGAATAAATAGGGACATTCATAGTGCATTATGTCTTATAAAAAAACTTTATTAAAGTTTAAAAATACTCACAAGAGTCAAGAAACAAATTGCATAAAAAACACTGCACCAGTGTGCTCCATCTATGTACAGACTGGGGTTTAGTGATCTCAACGTACACCCGCTTTAGACGAGCGGGTGTATTTTATTTTCTTGCAGATATTTATCACCTTATTATAGGCCACATTTGAGTGTAGTGGTTTCTGAGAAAAGTACATCGTAGACAAAACTAATTTGTGTTTATTTCGTACAAATTGAACACAGCAGCTGGGTGTATCACTATCCCCATAACGCAGGTCCATTTGTATACAAGTCCTTATGTCAGTCTGACAAAATAACAAAATGGAGTCTATTGCTGGTCCCTGATATGTGTTATGTTGTTCTTTTGGATTGCAAGAATCTACAGTCTATTCATTTCATTAGTACAAGTTATAAATGTTATTTACTTAAAACGTATTTCCTTTCTTTTAGTTGGTTATACATTAAGTGCTTGCTATTCTGTCTTCCTTTCTACTGTAGTGTCTTGACAACGTTTTATAAGGCAGAAAATGAATCTAACATTCTACCGAAGTTACCAGCACTGCCAAAGAAGTAAGCCATTTTTTTCAGTGGAAATGTAATAGAGTTTTATTTACAAATGTATAAACGTATTTTTTATTTTATTTTTTTACGTTTTGGTTGGTTGTGGTTTGCACCACACAAAGCACAACAGTCCGACACACTTTTTGCACAGTGCTCCAATCAACAACACTGCTTGTGAAATATCATCATTGTTGATTGTACTGTAGAGGGGCATGTCAAAGCACTGGAGACGCACTGATTAGAGTACTGTGGAGGGGTGTCTTGGACTGATAGAGATCTGGACTGCTGCGCTTTGTGTAAGTGCACTGATCCTGCTCTCCAGTTTGCCGACGTCTACTTACTACACTTAATCACACACACATTAGTAAAAAAACAAACATGATGCCATATTCCTTACGTGTTTTGCAGCCTGATTGCATAACAAGTAAAAAAGAAAGGCTTCCACTACTTTAACTTTTCCTCTTGGACAAAAATATTATGGTTAGAGTTGGACCCTTTGTATTATGTATTTATGATTCTTATTTTTTGTCTTCTAGTTTCAATGCCACTGCAAAGATCTTTAGGTAAGTCTTTTTTCTAGTTTCAAATGATGTAAGCATTTTAATAGATATTATCATGGTATATGATATACCTATTTTTATCTGCTACATAGATAGGTATTTACACAATAATTCTTGTATGATCTTGCATATAACCATAAACTGGCATCACAGTTTCCATACAACAAAAGAAGCTCTAATGCACAAAGCTTGCTATAGACCTTAGGTGGGGTCAGGTGTGGGGTCACAATCCAGTTATCAAATAATTGCTTGCTAGCACTGACTATTTGTGCACATTCTTATTATGGAGGACAGGAAGCAGACACTCCATTGCCAGTGAAATGTAGCCTTTGAAAAATATTTATGCATGACACTAGATCACTTTATGTACTGTGTGTGTATATTTATTTAATATAATAACACTAGATTAAGCAATGTTCTATATTCTAGTGAAGAAAAATCTGATGAAATACTGAAGCTTTTGGGAGATGTTAAGTAAGTGTTTTTATATATAATAATAATAATAATAATAATATAGTGTGTGTGTGTGTGTGTGTGTGTGTGTGTATTATGCCATGTATGTCAAGACTTCTAAAAATAAGATTTTACTCTTTTTTTACATTTTATTAATACTGTACAGTGGTACCTCGGTTCACGGACTTAATTGGTTTCACGATTTTGGACGCGAACCGAATTGGTTGTGAACCAAATCACATTTTCCCATAGGGTTCAATGTAAATCAGGTTAATCCGTTCTGAACCACATGAAAAAATAAAATAAAAAATGTAACCACAAGTTTCTTTTTACCACCATTCTTGCTCTGTACATTCTTGTCACCTTCAATAACGCTCTGCACATTATTTTCACCTTCATTAACGCTCTGCACATTCTGTTCACAGTCATTAACGCTCTGCACATTCTTGTTACCTTCATTAACGCTCTGCACGATCTTGTCACCTCTTTGCGCTTTCTTTTTCCCACCATGCTTGTTCCCACCATGCTTGCTCTGCACTTTCTTGAGAGCCATGCTGGATTGAATACAGTAATATTGTAGCGTACTGTGCTACAAAGCACACAAAAAAGCTTCACAGTAAGTGTCTGCCGCCCTGCCTGCGACCGCAATCCCGAGTACAGCAAGCCACGACCATGTGTCAGAGCGGGAAGGTGGTCGTGTTCGTCACCCGAGGCAGAGTTTGCGAACAGAAGCAAAGTTTTGACGAGCTTCCTGGTCGCGAACCGAATTGTTCGTAAACAGAGGCGTTTGTGAACCGAGGTACCGCTGTACTTTATTTTGCTGAATCTGGCTAAGCAATAATGAAAGCATTCTTTTAAAATTGAAGACACTAATTATATATTTGAAATGCATATAAGGGAGCTGTTTTACCTGACAAATTACTCCTGCCACTCTGCCTAGCAAAAATGGTGACACCACTATATTATTGTGCAGATCTCCTGCTTCCTGTGTCGCTTCCTGCCTCCAGCCTGCAATAGAGCTCTGCTGTTCAGGTGGTTATGGGCAGGTTATATAGTCCAGGCAGTTATGCTACCAGGATTTTAAAGTATATTAAAATGGTTTCTATTGCAAGAAGCATATTGCTCTCTAACTAGTTACTACATGTAACAATTGTATTCAATATATACTGTACTTGTCCATAGTGTGATTTCTGTTTTTGCTGTTACTTCCTTTGTGACAGGAATAAACTAACAATGATGACAGTAATACAGTCATAGTTTGGAAATGTAAATGGATCATCAAATATTGTATTTAAAGTTTATTCATTAGCGGTTACAGCTTTTGTGGCATAAAAGGAAACATCAGCATCTATTGTAAAATCACATTGTGGTATAGGGGTATCTAGCAAGTGGGGAATGTTATTTTTTTTTCTTTGTTGGAATAACTCAATTAAGATGACTTTAATGCACATTTTATACAAGGCTCAACGCTTTAGTCCTTGGAGGGGACTCTGGGCAAATTGAAATCTATGCCTATGGAATGTACAAGATTGCTACGATTACAGAGGTAATGTATTTTATGCAGTTTATTATATTTTTTTATGTCTGTCTTTTATGACTCTGTTATCATTTTGGCTAAATAAAGCAAACCAGCTGATGGCTGTCCTGGAAGCCAGGGATATATTTTAGTCCGCTATTCATTGATATTGGAGGTTATAATATATCACAATAAAGCAAGCCACCCTCTCACTTTTTGTTTATAGTTTACACCTAATTTAGTTATTTTAGTAATGCGATATGAAAGTGTTTGCATTTTTATTAGATGTTTGAATAATAGAACATTTAATAGTTTTAAAGATCATGTAAATGTGTGACTTTGGTCACTTAAGTAGCCGGGTTTATTGTAATGATTGGTGGGGTTACAAGCATACACCCCTGGCATTGGCCTAATCTTAGGTGGAAATAACTATAGTCCTAAAAAAATCCAGTTTGGCATATTGTTAACCCTCTCCGTAATGTATGGGGCATCATACAGTCAGGATATGCAGTTATGTAATGTATTATTCAGAGTCACAGAGTCCTCAGTCTGTGACTGCTCTATATTTGGCAACAATGCGAAAGCAGAACATTTTTGTTGACCAACTGCTAAATATGCAGCTATATAAATTGTATTTCTTTTGTGCTGCTTTTAGTTTTGAAGAGCTCTGGGCAGAATAAAACTTAACTCTTGCAGTGGGGCTACCCCTGCACTGCAAGGGTTAAGTGCTTGTTTTGGTCTGGGTGCTGGCTGCCTGCTTCTCTGGTCTCTGAAGCCTGTTTCCTTCTATGTTGCAGCATTGCAGCTACAAAGATATACAGTGGTACCTCGGTTCACAAACTTAATTCGTTCCACGATTCTGGTCGCGAACCAAATCAAATTTCCCCATAAGGTTCAATGTAAATAAGGTTAATCCGTTTTGACCCCTACGAACGTGGTTGTGAACCGATTTTGGTCGCGAACAGAATCAAATTTTCCTATAAGGTTGATCCGTTCTGAACCATATGTAAAAAAATGTTTTTCTTTGTCACCTTCATTACCGCTTTGCACTTTTTTTTACCACCATGCTTGCTCTGCACTTTCTTTGGAGCCATGCTGGATTGAATAATACTGTACAGTATGTGCTAAAAAGCGCACAAAAAAGCTTCACAGCAAGTGTGCACAGGTATGTCTGCGACCACTATCTCGACTAGAGGAAGCCACGACCACGTGTTAGAGCGGGGAAGATGGCCGCCGTCGTGTTCGTCACCCGATTTGGAGACGCGAACGGAAGGAAAGTTTTGGCGAACCTCCTGTTCGCGAACCGAATTGTTCGTGAACAGGAGCGTTCGTGAACTGAGGTATTACTGTACTCACCCGAACCTTGTTCCCACCTGGCTGCTAGACCGGTCTCTGCAGCCTCTATCCCACTTTGCTCTGCCAGTGGAATGTTCCTTGACGTCCTCACGTCCAATTGGGCAGGTTCTTAGACGGCTGGATCGAAGGGGAAGAGAGAGGCTTCAGGATCTGGTCTAGCAGCCAGTTGGGCTGAGGTTTCAGGTGAGTATATCTTTGTTATTTTAGACCCCAGACCAAAACAAGCAGTTATCCCATTCAGTGTGGGGGTAGCCCCACTAGAAAGGAAAAGTTTTATTCTGCTTGGAGTTCCTTAATAAGAAAATTATAATTATTATATAATACCTGTCACACTTCACTTACCTGGTGAACTTCAGTGGCATCCATTGACATGAAGATCATAGTAAAACTAGGTAGAATTTAGATAACTCTCTACCTGTGTATATGGAAATACCTATTGGGACCCATTCATGCTGTTTGATTTTTGGTAGCCGCATTTTCAATGACATGAAATGCATAAAAAAAGCGCATTGACGCAAGTACATTTACATTGCATATTGGCTTGTGATGCAGATTGCATTGCAATGTGAGGTGATGCACATTGATTTCAATGAAAGACACATCTACCAAATATGGAGACGTGTGATTGAGAGATCTGCTTTGTGGATTGTAGTTGTTCCTTAGAACTAGTGACTGTGTTGTCCGCCATTGCACTAAATACATCTCTCTACATGTCTTTGACATCAGGTGTTCGGCTCTTGCCTCGGCTTGTGCTTGTCAAGTGACTTAAAATCCCTTGCTGTTGTTACTGAGCTTTCAACAAACACTACTCCTGAGATCACATATTTCCAGGTGAGCTGGTGAGCAATGCCAAGAAAAGCATAGATGGAGTTCTTAAATGTGAGATTTCGTTTTTTAACCCCTCTGTTTATTTTGCAGCTGGATACTAGCTTGCTTTCCACCTATTTACCTGAGGTTACTCAAATGGCACGAAAGTTTACACACATTTCAACTCTTCGTCAGGTAATTCACTCTAAAGGGGAAACTAACTGAACATGAATTGGCCTTTAAGTGGCAAAAAGTGTGCCTGTCTTCAATACTAGGGATGCACCGATAACGGTATTTTGGTACCGAGTACCGATAATTTTTTTCCGGTACTCGCCAATACCAATTACCGAGTAACGGAAGTCCCATTCAGGAAGCCAGGTGGCTTGTATTGACTCGCCACCTGGCTTCCTGATTAGCCGGGAAGCCGGGCGGCGTGTAAAGACTCACTTCCCGATTAACAAGAAAGTCTGTCCCCTCTTACCTTGGTATGTCCAGTCTGTCACCCCCGGGGCCTCCCTCCGGTACCCAGCCGGAGCCACCTGGCCGGCCAATCAGGAAGCCGGGAGCCGTGTAATGACGCGACGCCCTGCTTTTTGATTTGGCCGGGAGGCCGGCTCCATGCTCCCTCTCATGACGAGGGAGCATGAAGCCAGCTTCCCGTCGAATCGGAATGCTTCGCCCAAATACTTGGTATCGGCACCGATATCGATATTAGTATCGGTGCATCCCTACTCAATACAAAAAGTATTTCTTTACCAGAAGGGTAATGAAGTTTGAACACTGAATCCATGCTTGCCATGTTCTGATTTGTTTTGTTATTTAAAGCTGGGGTCACACCATTTCCCATACCAGATCTGGAATGAAATGCATCGCGTTTTTGCAGTTCTACTGCAGTTTTTTAGCTGCGTTCCAGACCTTTTTGTTGTTGGTTTGTTTTTTTTTTTTTTAGCTTAAAATGGGCTCTCAAAGTACTTGAACAATGCCGGCATCCAATCAGATTGTTGAGGTATTTTACAGCCAGCGGGGCCGACTTTCAAGATACTGAAGGTTGGCCCAGGACGAGATTCCTCCACCCACACAGTTTAGCATAGATGGAATTAACCCTTGCAGTGTCTTCTGCGTGAAAGGCACTGTGACTTTGCCCCGAATGGCTAAAATGGCAAAGTCTGCACATAGCTTCAATAGTATATTCAACAGACCAAATATGGGAAGTGCATTATTAGGGTTTACATACTCCTAAAAGAAGGATTTATTCAAATGAACCCTTCCACTGGGGCTACCCCAACACTGCAAAGGTCAAGTGCTCGTTTTGGTCTAGGGAAGAAAATAATGAAGATATACTCACCTGGTACTCTGTTCTGCCTGGCTGCTAAACCAGCCACCAAAGCTTCTTCTTCACTGAGCTCTGGCAGTCATTCTTGATGAGGCATCTGCCTGTTTATTTTGGAGACGGCAACCCGCAGATGCTGCAGTGCCGTCCGTCTGTTTTTTTACTACGGGCGGACGGCAAGAGGTTAAAGGCTTTGTGCTTCAAAGTATTCATGTTGATTGCCTTAAAGTAATAGTCATACCTGAGCTGCTCTATGTTTTCATTTTATTTTATTTCTAGTATTTAAAGTTGTCTCTGACTTGTATGTGTGAAGCCTGGGAAGAAATTTTGATGCAGATGGATTCTCGACTGACAAAGTTTGTTCAAGTACGTCTTATTTGTGTTTTATTTTATATTATTATTGCTGTTTGTGTTGTTTTATTACATATGTAATTCTCACCTTTCACAGCAGCCATATGTATAGTTCTGTTCCCCCTTACTTACATTACAGTTACAATACAATTCAAGACAAGATGGTAAGGAGTGCCCTGGCCCTGAGGGCTTACATACTTACTATTCTCACCTTCCCCAGAGCACACAACAACCATATATACAGTTCCTTGTCCTCCCTCACTGCTGCCACATGTTCTCTTTAACAAAGCCATACTGTATATCAGGGCTCAAAATTTCAAGTCCTGAGCTACCAGCCAGGCCTTAACAGTCACTAGCCACAAGTTGCCCCACCTAACCCTTACCCTGCCCCGGCCTTAACTCCGCCCCTAAACACACCCTCTTAAATAATATTATGATAATTCTTATCTTATGGTAGTTGCCGCTTGTAAACGGCAGATTAGGGATTCCAGCTGCAGGAAAACGCAAGTTCCTGACACAGGAATCTCTAATCACACCTGAAATATACTGTAGGTGTGAATGGGGCCTAATATACACATACACTAAAGGTGTCCATACACCTGCCGATTATCGTACGATAATTGCGGGTGATCCTGCGATTGTGCGATAATCGGCAGGTGTATGGGCAGCATGTGACCGCTTCTACTGTAAGGTCGTACGACTTTCGTCTTCCAAGCACGCTGGAAAACCTGCAGGTTAGTGGCGTGGTCGGAAGACGAATGCCGCATGGGCTGGTGTGCGCAAGCGCACACTGCCCACTCAGCATTGCGACCATCGGAAAGCCTTCCCTTCAGCGGGGAGGGCTTGCGATGATCACAAGTACGATATGCCTGTCCAAGATATACAGATCGTACGATATTTTAATGACCTTACAACCATCGCATAACTAAAGTTGTGCGATGGTTGTAAGGTGCTTGGAGACCCAAATTTCCACTCGCCCTCACCTTATTTTTACTCGCAAACTGCGAGCAGGCGAGTGGAATTTTTGAGCCCTGCTGTATATACATGTTTCTATCTCTCGCTTAACACTCCTTCATTGTGCATAAGATTCTGTGACTCCATATTCTAGGCGGGAAGAACAGCCCACTAATGTGCACATGCAGTACTATATTGGATCTTCTTTTTCTCACTGGTTGTGAAACCAATAGATTGGGGATCTCATTCATGATTGTCCCATCCTGTATATAATAGCTGTATGCACAGATCTCATTGTTTGATGAATGAGGAGTCATTTCTCCTTTCTTGCACATTTTGTTTCCCTCTCTTATCTGTTATTAATCCTCCTGCAGGTCTATTAAGATTGCAAAGAGTAAACATTTACCCTACTTTATTTTAGAAAACAAAAAAGCTCCTCAGTAGCTAAACAAGTAATACTTTTTTATCCAGTGTAGGGGAACTCCATAATACATTTTCAGTTCATGGCTTGACCTTTACTTGGTTTTCTGCTGTTATAACAGCAATGGTTTTAATGCACTCTGGTTGGCTTCTGGGCCAGAGAACAAGCAGAAGAACCCACCTTGGTTAATCTAGCCCCATGCTAACTTAACATGCACGGTGCAGTTGGGCAGTAGGGGGTAAAGGCATGTTTTATCTAAAGTACAGAACATAAAACTTTTAGGTGTGTATCTTTAGAGCATAATGTACATCATTAGATTTAGATAAATAAAGACTCCATGGTTAGAGAGACTGGGGGGGATTTATCAAAACTGGAGCAGACGAAATCTGGAGCAGCTGTGCATCCAATCAGCTTCTATCTTTTATTTTAAAATCTTAACTAAACAAATGGAAGAGAGAAGCTGATTGCCATGGGCAACTGCTCCAGATTCTTCTGCTCCAGTATTCATAAATTCCTCCCACTGTGTGTTGAATAAAACTTTCCACACCCTGTGCTATTTATTAGGATGCTTAGCAAATTTGCTGCAGATTCACCCATGAATACATAGATCATTCACTGGGCTAAACTTGAACATGGGATTCACTCCATTCTTTATGGACATAAGTGCATTAAATGTGCTGCTGTATACATGTTGAAAGTATTTTTTTACTTCATGCTTTATTCTTCACTATTTTAGGAAAAGAATACCACCACCTCTGTGCAGGATGAGTTCATGCAACTTCTTCTTTGGGGTAAAGCCAGGTAACTCCTTACAACGTTCACATTTTAAAAAATGTGTTGAATTATTTTATTCTGGGATTTATTCAGCTGTCTATAACCTTGTTGAGGTACTCCTCGGTAATTATTGGTTTATAAATACTCATAATGAAGCAGACTGAGGGTGTAAGTTTTATAGATCCAAAACATCGGTTAATTAACACGTTGTGTGACTCACACTGGACACTTCACATCAGATTTTGCAGTATATTCACTAAACTGCTGTTTGCATTTGGCATCTGTGGAGTGACCATATAGCAAGTTCCGAAAATAAAATGGATTCACTAAGATCTGTTTGAAGTAAAACTTGTAATGCAACAATGTTCTTACACCAGGACAAGAAGTGCTAGGACTACAGAACACATCCACCTCCCCATAACATTGGAAGTGTTCTGTATTCCTAATACAGTTCCTGATGACATTGCAGACTGCACAGTACACAGAACAGCAGTAGATTTCTGGCAGGATTAGCACAATATTTTTTTACTCATATCAAAACAGATATAACAATACCACTTCATAGAGTTTAATAAGCAAACCTAAATCAAGCAACAAACAATCCAATCTTTCAGGCACTATGCAAGCCCTGGCCTTGAACATGGCCCACTAAGTTTAGTAGGCAAGTTGCAGATGGTGCAAAAAGAGCTTCTGTCATGAATTACAATTGGAAAAAGGTGTAGCGACTGGCTTTCCATACACAACAAAATAAACAATCCAGTTCACTGAGAATATGGAACATTAAGGACCCCTTCACACTAGAGTGGTGACCTGCGTTTTACTGCATCGGATCAACGCAAAGCACTGGAAGGACACATAGAAAACATATGTTTTCTTTGTATCCCATTCACTCCACAACACGAGGGGCAGGCCGCTGCGATAAAACATGCAGCATTTTATCACCGCACACTGCATGCCACCGCTGCCATACGGGGGCCTGAATGAAGTGTGCACATTGTACACTCCACATAAAGTTTAAAAAAATTTAAACAATGACAGCTCTGGCAGTGTGTAATACAACACACACTGCCAGAGCTGCCGCAACACACTAGCCTGCATGTTAAAATGGAGCGTTTTAGTTGATTGGCTAATGTGAATGGGCCCTAAAAGTAGTGATATGTGTTTTAAATTCATGATCTGTAAAATGTACTGCCAGGTTTTCAATCTGCAAATCCGTGCATTGTGTATTTTATCCAAAGTTAGTGTATTATGTAATGTATTAAAGTAGAACTATGAGGTGAGTGATTTTCACTCACCTCATAGTTCGAGCCGACCTGTGACAATGAAACTGTCACACATCAGCTCAATAGATCGGGAAGTGAGCGAACACATACCGTCGCTCGCTCACTTCTCGATCCTGTCCCTGCAGAGAGTGGTGACTGTCACTCGGGGCGAGTGTTGTGCTGGGGAGTCAGCTCTGTTATTGTCTCCAATGATGCAATGTGTGACTATAAGATGCCGTCACGTGATAAGGGTCTCTAATCAGCTTTTCTCATCTATGTGATAATTATTTAATTGGACTTTCTGTGACTATTTCACTATTCTCTTTTGTAGGTTGTACAAGGTGGATTTGAGACTATTAAGAACTGACATTGCGCTAAAGTCACAATTTCCATGAGGGGGATTTATCAAAACTGGAGCAGACAAAATCTAGAGCAGTTGCCAGGGGCAACCAATCAGCTTCTCTCTTCAGTCATGATTTGAAAATGAAAGAGAAACTGATTGGTTGCCCCAAATGCAAGTGCATTGCAGTAGAGTGGCGGGCGGTGAAAAAAATAGTTCTACGTGTCATCCCTAGACGCATTGAGGCACGTCGGGATACCATGTAGAATGAATGGCAATGCAGGACACCTAGTGTAAAGTGCATCATACTGTGCAATAGCGTGTGCTAAATGCATAGAAACCATGACTTTAGTGCAACGCTGTAGTGTGAATAAGTCCTTTTTAGGTCTGGGCATAAAAGGGGGGGGGGGGGGGGTGTGTGTCTTTTTATATCTGCATTGAGTTCAAGCTTTAAATGAGAACTATGAGGTGAGTGATTTACACTCAGCCTCATAGTTCGAGCCGACGTGTGACAATAAAATTGTCACACGTTGGCTCAATAGATCGGAAAGTGAGCGAACACATACCGTCGCTCGTTCACGTCCCTGCATAGAGCCGTGACTGTTACTCAGGTCTCTCTGCAGGGATTCCCCCTCTCCCCACTCCAATCCTCCAGCACTAACTGGAGGAACGGACGAGGAGGGGGTGGGTTCAGCTGGCTCTGCCTCTAGATAGGCAGAGCCAGCTGTCACTCACACAGCTGGGTGAATCTCAACAGTAATGTTGGAATCGGTCCCGGCTGCGGCGCTCTCAGTATATAGCGAGCTGTAGCTCGCGATATACTCAGCTTTGGGTCACGGGAGGAGGTTAATATATGTCCTCCTGTGACCCTTAAGAGAACTATGGGGGAAAACACTTACCACCTAGTTCTCTTTTAATGACACGTTTCCACATGTAATATTTCTACTAGTTTGCAATGTGAGATAAGATCAGAATAGTATGTTTGCAGTGTAGAAATTAACATCATGTAATGATTAAAGTTCTTTAGGGGTACAGTATGCTGTTTAATAAATATACTATAGCTTTTTAATTGTCTGTCTCCTACATTTAGTCCAGAGCTCCAAGGATTGCTGATGAATCAGCTGACTATTAAAGTGAGTACCGATCTGTGTTTGGTGGTTCTGTTCTGTAAAGTGCAAATTTTATTGATTTAATAACCTGCTTGGCTTTCAGGGCCTAAAGAAGCTTGGCCAGTCTGTAGAATCTTCATACTCCACCATTCAGAAACTTGTAATAAGTCATTTACAAAGGTATGTTCACTTAACATGTGTAACATTGATGACATAACTCTTCCCACAGCAATGCTAGTCGTTTTCTGAAAAGATATCAAATTTATTTTTTAAACAAAGCAAAAACAGAGAATTTGTTAGATTAAATTGAAGTAGCACCCTCTCTGTTGCATTCAATATCTAGAATTGTGCCGTTTTCATTTGAGACAACTCGAATATCACACCTCATCGCATATGAATAGCAGGAGATTTCTCTGTTACAAATACCTTTTAGGGTTGTGAAGCACCCAGACAATATGTACTTAAAGCAGAACTCCAGGTAAAAATGCCCTTAGCCTTGCAGTGGGGCTTCCACTGCACTGCAAGGGTCAAGTGCTCATTTTTGTCTAGGTGCTAAAAATTAGATTCACCTGAACCTTGGAGCCGGCTGGCTGATACTTTGGTCACTGAAGCCTGTCAACTCCTACGCTTCAGCGATGGTATGTCTCCCGGCATCCTAACTTGCTATACACTGTTTTGTTTTTAGCATCTGGACAAAAAGGAGCACTTAACCCTTGCAGTGCGGGGGTAGCACAGTTCTGCTTTAAAGGTCTAGCTTCTAAACAATTTTTGTCCTTATTGTTTTTTTTTGTTTTTATGAATAACCAAATGTTTTAATAAGGAAATGGAAATGCAAAATCTAATTTAATAAAGGCTGTTTTGTGGAAGTGTTAATATGTATTTAGTGTGTGCATGTTTACCCCACAAGTCTTAAAAATTAAGCAGTTATGCTGGACAGAAAATCCACAGAAGTTCACTTAAAGTGCCGTTATCCCTTAAGTTCCCCTCACCGTGGTGACCATGGCGGTCTTCACTCTATGACTTTGTGGCACCGCACAGCCTTATCTTTAGAATCTACCCAGGCAGCCTTGCCACAGTTCTCATTCATTTCAGTGGAAGGACAAAAACAATTGATTACAGGTCTGTGATTGAGATCATGAAAATGTGACGCACATATGCAGGGGCATGCTGGTCAGCTTGTTAGATTTTGAAGAAGAAACAGCTTCTCGTTTATACAGATTATTTGGATTCTCCTAGAAAGGATAATGTCTGGTTACCATGCTATAATCTGAGGGAAATGCAATGCGCAGTTTACTATTCCACAGGATGGTTATAAAATATTTGCCAAAATACAGGACACAATTTGGTTTATATTCCAGTCTTCTCTATGTGTTTGCTATTGACTGTATCCACAAATATACATTTGCAATCAGAATAACACACCTCCTCCATGTGATATGTTTTGCAGGTGCAGGAGGACATAAGATTCTTTTTGTTTTATTTTTAGCAAGCATAGGTGATCACCCCCGTTTTCACCTCTACCATGTAGTGCTTCTGCAGCAGACAATCTGAATGGTACTTCGAATTTAGTCAGAACCCTCTTCTAGCACATTTTCTCCAATTAAAGTTCTTTTTCACAATTATCACAACACAGTTATCCCTTAAAGCTGATCTCTAGGCAGATATTTAGAAAAAAAATACCAATGAATGCAGTTATGTATTTATTTTAAGATCGTTAAAAGCACTTAAATTTCGTCTAGTGTAAGTACATGAATTTGACTTTTTCATCTTCTAGTCTGAGTCTTGTATACAGGGGATTACGAGAATGGGAATGGACTGCTCTTGAGCTGTATCAGTTGTTCGACATTCACGAACTGACAGTGCTGACATGGAACATGCTGTCAGGGATGACCTCCTAAGTCTGTTGCAGCTTCTACACTGCCCATCACGGGGTGGGAATGGGGAGGCAACCAATCAGTGGATCTTAACTGCAGCAAAGTCGGGTCACAAATCCATCTCGGCTGTCCAGGCTTTGTAAATCTCTGGACTGGATTGTCAGAAATACAAATACGTTACCAGGAAAGCTAGAACTCATTTATATGTATTGCATCTGTGAATTTCCCTGAAGTTCTCGTTTAAGAGGTGATGATTAACGTAAGCCAATCATTTCAGTGCAGAATCTTGACCAGTAAAATGGCTACTAGAATGGTTACTTACAAAATGTATAGATTATGTGGTATTATTGATTATATTGATCATAGTCTTTAGACGTGTTCTATCTTATAATATTCTCAAGATAAGACATTAAATTGCTAAGAAAATGCATGCAAGTTATTGATTGGAGAGTCTTTGATTTTGCAGTGGAGCTGAAGTTTTGCTCTATCATCTAAGTGAACTGAAAGGGATGGCCTTGTGGAAACAGAAGTATGAATCTCTTGGCTTGGAAGCCAAAGCAATAGAAGGTATGTAGCTGGGCGATCACACTGATCTATAGAGATCAACACACACATATGAAGTCTAGTCTTCTAGCCATTTAGAAAGAAAGGCCACTCTGTGACATTTCAGTAAGTGCAATAAAGTTGGACTGCAGCCAAAACCTTTTTTTAAGACTTAGTTGAGAATCACTCTTGGGCCCGGTTCACATAATTTTGCTGACCAGATCTGGAATGCGGTGCATTGCGTTTTGTCACGTGTTTACCGCAAATTTTACCACGATTTTGTGACATCCAGGATTGTTTTTGTTTTTTTCAGCTTAAAATGGGCGTTCAGGGTTTGTTCCAGTGCGTTTATCTGTGTTTTAATGCGTTTCCATACGGTCCAGTGCATTCTACCAGAGAAAAGAAGACTAGCAGTATTTTTTTTGTCTGGTCGGGGAACGGACTGCTCTGGTTTGAACAGATCCTATAAATACCATAGGGATACACTGGGATCCTTTTTTTGGTCCAGGAGCAAACTATTCTGGTGCGGACATGGTGTGAACAAGCCCTTTGGGTCACCATACATGTTACAATCTGACCATACAATCAACTTTAGATTTACGAGAGCTTGGCAATATGAGAACGTACTTAATCTATCCAATCAATTTGCATCCAGTCAGGCAGGCCCTTGCACACATAGGTGTTGGTAGTTCTAAAGGAGATTCTACAATCAGATTATAATGTGTGCTGGGCTTAAGGTAGATGCATCAACAATAAAAACACTGAAGCAGGAAAAGCTAGCATCTCCCTTTTTAGATTTTTATTGTTGGAGATATTCCTTCCATTCCTCTGACACTTTTGCCAGATGGACTGGAGGTGAAGAGAATTGTCTCCCGTCATACCCATAGACAATGTTAAAAACCTGACAAGAGGATTTAAACCTTACCCCATTCTGTCTAAAACTAAACAGTTGTGACTGAAATTACAGGTAAAGAGGACCTGTACTCTGGAAGCTGTGCCCAGAGAAAGGAAATCCGAAGGCAAAGGACTAGTCACCAGTTTTGCCTATACGCTCTCCATGTAGTTATTTTCCCCATTACTGACTTATCATGCCTTGTACTACACTGTATCTCTGTGAGGAGGCAGCCATCTTGGTAGGCAGGGCTTTGCTTCCTTAGATCAGAGTTATCGGTGACGAGGGGGGGCAATGGTCAGAAATGAGCAGTAGAGGGGTCAGAAGCACAGATCAACAGAATAAATAAAGCAGAAGCAGGGGGATGGTTACACTGCAGACCCTCGAGTACAGCTTGCTCTCCAGCAACAACAAGACTGATCAGAACAGTAGGGACCTCACCAATTACTCAAACTCTCCTAGTGCCTCATATCTCAAACTGCAGATCTATACAGCTATGGGAGAACAGAACATGCATTTCATATATTAAGAGAGGGCCTGCAAGTAGAAAAACATAACCATGGATTACAAAAAAAAACAACAATATTCAGTGGCGAAGATATAATAGGACATGTATTTTATCATAGGTGTACATTTGTTTTGTTTTTTATCTTAATTTCAACAACCCAACTTTTGTATGCTAGGAATACACTTATCTCCGCCTAGTGACTACTGTGTGAAGGAAGGGTGGTGTCAGTGAATGCAGTTCCATGTATTTTATGTAAATGAGGCCCTTTCTCACCAGAATAATGTGCTATAAAGTCAAGTGACCGGGGACTATCAAAACTACGATGCAACGCCTAAAAATGCGCTGCAGTGTGTATTCTTTTATACACATTTCTTCTTTATGCATTTTTTTCTATTGCATCTGTTGTGAACAATTTAAAATTTAGAGGGCTAAACTAAGCACAACAGAGTATCTACAGCAGTGTTTTCATTTAAATAAATTCTCTTTTACAGATGCGATAACTTCTGTGGGGTCATTCATTCTTAAAGCGAATGAGCTTTTACAGTAAGTCTTATTTCAGCATTGCCATATGAAATGAGTAATACTTCTAAGAGGTTAAAGGTTGTTTGTAAAAGTGTTATTTTTTAATACATACCAAGAGAAATCCAAGTGCAGGCTTTTGTGATATGAATGTTTCTTTTTTTTTGTGGGTATTTGCAAATTTTTGTCACCTGTGAATAATATCAAAGATAGTGAGAGCTCAGTAGAGGTAAATTTAAAATGTCTCCCAGCTCGGTGCTGCCATCTTTGCTGTCACATCTTATTACATCTGTCACGGAAAGTGTTAACCTATATAAACGTCAGCATTATTAAAGGAGAACTCCATAAATTAAAAGTCGGTGCTCCTTTTGTCTAGGGGGTTCAAATAAAGTTGTTTTTTCTCACCTGATCCTCGGTCCCACAGCGTTCAGCCCTCCCCTCTCTCCCCTCTTGATTCCGGCTATGGAATGTACCTCAGAATCCTCATGCCTAAAGCAGGCCATTGGATCTGCATAAGACATGATGATGTCATCAGTCCTTAGACCTCCGGAGCCCAGGGGAGAACAGGTTGTGAGGACCGGTCTAGCAGCCTGGAGTGAGCCAGCAGGACCGAGTATTAGGTAAGTACATCTGCTTTATTTGAGTCTCTTAGACAAAACTAGCATTTAACCCTTGCAGTACTGGGGCAGCCCCACTGCAAGGGCACATTTTTTATTTTCCTAGAGTTCTTTTTTTTCATTGTTTCTAAATGGCAATAAATTGTGGCTTATGTGGTTTATGTTGCATGTGATAATCATATCCGTGCAGTACAGTCAACTCTCCATTATACACTAGTAATGATACATTCTGGTTGAGCTGTGTAAAGGTGTACATTACAGAATAAGAACCTTTTGATACAAACTTATCTATTGCCAACACAGGACTGATGATTGCTGTTGTTTTTGCTATAGATGCGTGTCTTTGTTGTGATTCAAATGAACATATTTTGTTATTTTTCAGAGTTATAGACAGTGGCATGAAAAACTTTAAGGCGTTCTTCCGATGGCTTTATGTAGGTAAGCAGAAACATTTCCAGAAGATTTTTTTTCTTGGTCATAAAAACGGATCATTTAGACATAAAATATCTTTTTTTATATGAATCAGGATAATTCATTGTCATACTTTTCTAGCTATGTTACGGATGTCAGAAGATCACGTTCTCCCAGAGCTGAATAAGGTAAGAGATATAAATATATATTTTTTTCCAAACGACTGAAATACTGAAACTTAGTACCTGTGTTTTTTTGTTTTTTTTTACAAAACACATTTTTGGTTGAATGACGAAGCCTTTGGACTTGGAACTGCTTTTATTGATGTCCATACTTTCCTGTATGGGCATCCTGGAGACTGGAAGTGAGGGAAATTTTCCATAATGGACAGTAATATTAACTCTTCTATATGCCATCAAAAACGTTTGCTGGCGTTGCGCTTTAACCTATATGTGAAGGCATTGGCCAAATTTACCCCCAAACATTCATCTTCCCACCTAGAGCATACCTCAGCATTTTTACCTTGTTCCTGTTGTGAAAATGGCTTTTATTTCTGTCTGCGACCTCATCGAGCTTTATAAAATTGTTACAGTGGAAGCTGCTGGAAGCTTATTTCCTCTTTGCTTAGGCACGCATCCTGTACTACATCTCTCAGGAGCCTTTTCCCTGTAGTATGTGGGCAGGCTCTAAAAGTCAAGGCAGTAGCATTGTTTTGCTGGAAAATAAATCAGTGTTTGCATGTGGAAAGGGACAGAAATGGGTGGAGATCTGTAGTCCAGCGGGCAGGGCTGAAAGTGCTAGTTGGGTGTTGTAAACCCAGATAGAAAGTTAGAAGCGTACTAGACTTCCGGCAGATCAACAGGTATTTGTGTCTACCATAAGGAAATCTGCGTGTACAGCAGAAATGCACTGCAGGTTTTTATATTTGTTTTTTTTTGCCCTGACATACTCTTCATGGAGACAGTCATCTTTCACAATAAAAAGAGGAATTCCTTGGCAAGGACTTGTAAGATGGAGACTGTCACCCTACTTGTACAATAGAAGGGAAATCATTCGGGAACATTGGCATTGGAATACCAGAATATGTTTTGTCTGTCCAGTATATTTTTATAAGATTTTTTTGCACAATGTTTGCTAAAACATTTCTGAGGAAGACACCTGTTGACATAAGAAAACATTTTTTTTAAAACAAGCTCAAAACTTCACAGCACACTGACGTAGTGTAGCAGTTGATTATATTTTTTTCATAATAATGTGAGTAACATCTGCTGAAAAAAAATACATTAAGGGCCTGTTCACACGACGTCCGTTTTCTATGCTGACCTGATCCGTACGCTCCTGCACTAAAAATGCATCCCAATGTATCCCTATGTGTTTTATGGGCTACAATTCTCACGTGCGCAGTCAGTTCAGGTTACGACAGAAAAAATACTGCATGTCACATTTTGTCCGGTCAGAAAACGCATCGCAATGCAGCTAAGCAAAAAAACAAAAAATTATTCTACATAGAGATAGACAGAGTGGGAGATAGACAGACAGGTTGGGGTAGAGGTAAAGACATGAACTGCAAACATTTTAAACATGCCCATTACCTTTCCATGGACATACGAGTAAAGGAAAAACATTTATCCGGGTGAGCTCGCAAATCCTCATATAAACTCCAGAACTGACCCTTGGAGTCCCGGAGCCTCAAGATCGGGTGTACCCAATAAAGACGTCTCCTGCGAGCTCGTTCTCTGCAGATTGCTGTAGCTAGCACCATCAACATGCCTGCAAACATGTGATACATGTCTGATCACCAGCTTTACCTACACAAAGGGAAGTAGATGTTACGAGAGGGCGGAAGTGACCTCAGAGGAAGAATCTGCATAATGACAGCCCCACGGCTTGAAAAAAAAAAAACTGTCAGCATCTGGACTGAAAACGCATCAAAAATGCACTGCATGAGTAGCACCGCGTCTGCAGATCGGGACCTGATCAGGACCTGAAAATCATGTGAACAGGCCCTAAAACTGCTTCAATAAATTAACACATAGGTCAAACTTATCAGTGCTGCCACTTCAAGTAGCATTGTACGAGGGGCAAAACCTGTTCATCAGAGCCTGTGACACTGGCTTTTCTGCCTGAATGTTCAGTAACCAACAACCAATTTGACTACCACCCATGTGTATTTCTGGGTGAAAAGAATAACAGGTAAACATAAAATCCAACGTATAAATATTATGTAGCCTTTGTTCTACCCAGCAGATGGAGCTCTAGTCATCTTCTTACATGAATCTTGAAATCTTGAACGTTGTAAAAAAGCATGGCATTTGCCGCCTCAGGTTGCTGAAGATGAAATGGCTTATGGTACTGGCTCATCCCTTACTGGACAGCTAGGTCTGAACATTTGATGACAGACAGCTGTGTCTGGAAGGGACATACTTTTGCTTTGTTGTCTCATTGGATAACTCATTGTACTCTGGCAATCCTTTTTCATATATTTTAAAAGATTACTTATCCCAATTTTCAAGAATCTGTGATGTGTTTATAGTATGTTTCACTGCCTAAACTTTTCTTCCCTGTGTAGATGACACAAAAAGACATCACTTTTGTGGCTGACTTTCTGACGGAACATTTTAATGAAGTAAGTATCAGTGCATTTAAAAAAAAATAGTTTATTAAGTTTTGCTTAGATACAAAGAAAAATAAATTGAGGCAAGGGCGTACCCTCCCCCCACATAGGGGGTCTTCACATAATATAAAAGCAGGTAATACAGGGCACTGTGGTAAGAACATTTCTTGGTCAGCAGGTCGAGTATCAAAGTGTTAGTCAATGACATGGGTAGTGAATGTGATCACATGCACAGACATAAGAAAGAGAAAAAGAAAGAACGCAGCAGTCTTTTTTTTGTTTATAGACTATAACAGTTGAAAACATCACTGATGTAAAAATATAACAAACAAGTTATAATGTTGACGGAATGATTGTGTATGTTGTCCAAAAAGCAAGCCCATATAGCATACAGGTACTGTTGTATGGTTTTTGTTAGAAAAAGTCAGTTCTTGTAAAAGGTAAGGACATTGTAAACAAAGTATTATGCTAAAATTAATTTTCAAAGTATGGGACAAGGGAAATGGAAAGGTTAAGCAGGGAAGTCCGTGTGCAAACCATAAGGCCCCATTCAGATGAGAAAAGGCCGGCACGTACAGCTCCGTGCTGTGCGCACGGCCGTATCGGGCAGCTACCGGGAAGGACAGGTGCTGCGTGTGATTAGTGCGCAGCCCCTGTCCTTCTCTATGGGAGTACGCGGCCATATGCCGCCCTACACTCACTCCAAGTGCAGGTCCGTACGGGTGCGGTTGTCCCCGCTCGGACGCAGACGGGATCCATCCTGTCAGCGTATGAGTACGGACACCCACACCCGCACGGACGTGCAGTACGGGTGAGCGCAGGGCGGCGTACTCCCATAGAGAAGGACAAGGGCTGCGTACTAATCACACGCAGCACCTGTCCTTCCATCAAAGTTACAGAGGAAGAAATGGATGCAATCATCGCATGCACCAAAGCATTGAAGGGATCTTAGTTTTCCAGTAAAAATAACACTTTAATCAAATCAGTCAAGAGAGAGAGAGAGATCAGGGCAGTTTTATTATAATTCTGCCCCCACCCCTTGAGCTAAAGTATCCCATTCCCAAAACTCTATACCAAGTTCTCAATGCAGAGGCTCTATACTTAGTATGTTGTTGCTGTAATGTTTACATCTTCTGGGCCTGGTCCCTATGGACTTCTATGGAGCTTGATGATGGATCGGAGCTTTCTCTGCATCCTCAGGCTGAAGAAGCTTTGGAATTTTGGAAAAGTTTGCAAAATTAATAAGGTTCTTGCGGAACTGTTACATTCTGCCCTTAAATTTTACTCTTTTAGGATGGATTCACAAATGTATTTATGTATTGAAGGTTTCAGTCTTGTTCCTTTTTATATCTTTGCATTTTTTTAACATCAACATTTCTATTAGAGAGATACAGATTTGTGTCACAAAGCAGGATTGATTCCCTCTTTTGCACTTGTTGTAGTGTGTGTCATAGAAGAGAACTAATATACCTGTATACCTGTGTTCTAGACATTCATAGTGGCTATTTGCTGTTCTAGGCACCAGAACTTTATGACCAGAAAGGCAAATACTTCAATGTGGAAAGGGTTGGACAGGTAAGGTCTACTTTCTTCTGGATTATCTCACTGACACTGCTCAAGGTGAAGATTTAGTGGTGGCCATATGTACATTTTTGTGTTAAATATAGCTTTCTCTTCTTAAAATAGATGTTATTTTACCACTTTCGCACAAGTCCAAAAATGAACCTCTAGTTGGCCCATTGCACTTCGAGAAATTCTCATTTACAGCACATAGGTTAAAAAATATTGCAGGGAGCTGACAGCTTTATATTTTTAGAGACCTGGCATTTAGGGATTGAAATATCATCACTGTCTTACAAATCCAAAATCAAGGGTTAATTGCACTGTAAGCCCCCATTCACACTTCGCATTTTCAGCTTAAAAAAATCGTTCCCAAAAAGAAACCCCATTAATTTCAATGGTACTGTTCACATCTGAGCGTCATGTCACCTGTAGCAAAACGCCTGTCGCTTGTAGCAAATACATGAGCGACTTTTCGGCAGATTTAGCACTTCTTCGCCGCCATAGACTTAAATGGTGTCACAAAATTGCACATTTCAAGCAAGGTTGCACTGCACGTCTTTGTCGCGCTGAAAACGCACTTATTTTGTGTCACTCAGGTGTGAATGAAGGATAGAGGGTGGAGACCTAAAAAAACATTTCTGGTGCTTTTGTGGCCAACCTTACATCTGTTTCTGAAAGTTTGACATCACTTTATTCCTTTCTAAGTATTTAAAAGATGAAGATGACGACTTGCTATCTCCACCCAGTACGGAGGGGAATCAGTGGTTCAGTTTTCTGCAGAACAGTGCGCCCCTGAAAGGTATTTATTTCTGGTAATCATTTGGTAATAACTTTCACTGACCCTGCAACAAGAGTGTGGAGGGAGACGCACCCCACACTGTCGGCTCACTAGGTTGGGTTATTATATAGCCTAGGTAGTAGTTTGGGAACAAAAGATGTCTTAGACATGTGTTGGGTAACGTATATTTAAATATATCTAAGGGCCCTATAACGCTTTGCAGATTTTATCCCAAGGGCTGTATTAGGAGCATGTAAAAAAATATAATACCAGTTTAGAAAGGGGTTTATTACAGTAAAAGTGGTTATGCTGTTGAATGCTTTAGTAGTCACCGCTCCAAGCTCACTCCCGTGATGCACTATAATCTCATTACAAATTAGTAAACTAAACATGAGATTGTAGCCCATCCCAGGGAAGAGCTTGGAGTGGTGACTACTTTACAACACACACAGGGACCATGGGGGACAAGAGTAGTCACCCTCCAGAAGGAAGGACAGTGTCAGCACCAATTCAGAGATGATTTGAGGATCTACAGCTGAGTGATACACAAATAAGATACATTCTTGTTAATAGTTGGGGTACTTACATTTTTTAGATTGAACTGATGAATTTAGTGTCTCTTTAAAATAAATGGACTGGATTATGTTCTTAACACTAATAATCAAAATAGTAATTACTAAATGATATTCTGGTAGTATTCAGAGCCACAGAATGAACCTGATTTAACCGTAAGAATGTCGGGAAAGAGCTTTATTTTTGTCCCCAGTGTAGTAGTATTGGCCACAGTTGCACAAGGGAGTGTTGCCTTCCAGTGGACCAAAACAGCAGGTCTTCTCAGTGGTTAAACTTGATAAGTTTTTTTGTTTTGTTTTTTTTTTCGTTTTTTTCCCCCAAACGTGTATACATATTTAATGTGTACAAATCATGAAACAAATATAATACATCAGTTTAACAACTGCCTTTAAAATGAAGTGAGTGTTGCTAAATGAATGCTCCTTGAAGTCCTATATACTAGTAAATAAGATCTTGTTTTTATAGTCAAAGCACCATTGTTTTAATGGAACTAACCTGTATTGAATAAGCTCAGTCCGTCCCTTTCCCAAGTAGACAATGACGTATGTCATAAGTTATACCAACCAAAAGGTTAAATCTAGCTTGCAGCTGTAAGGCAAACAATTCAGCTCAGTACACTCTCTAATGCTGTGCATACACTGTGTGAAATTCACATGATTGGATGTCCTGTTGGCACCCTTCCATCTGGCATTGTTTGATCAACTAATTGAAGGACCTGGATGGAAAATCTTCAGGCGAAAAGTGAGGGCAGTCAGTCAGTCAGCTGCTGTCGCTGTTCGAGTATTCTGACAGTGACGACATATAACAATGTAGGTCCAGCTTTAGTCTCGGCATTTGCAGCAGGAGTAGGAGACCGATGCCAAAACCTACAGTAATTCTTTTTGAACATTTGTAATATTTGATTCTGTTATTGAGCTGTGTATAAATAGTATTGTGATGTGGACCTAATGCTGCATTTCCTTCTTTATAGAAAGCCCACTACTGTTTCCTTCCTATATAGAAAAGTCACTTCATTTTGTGAAGCGGCAGATGGAGGCTGTTATCGATAACTGTTTGGCAAAACCAGCGGTAAGTCCCTGTTTCCACGCATTCTGGGCTTTCGCTGAAATGTGATACAACTTGCCAAAGTTTTATATTGTTGTCTTGCAGGACGTTATAGGGAAATCTGTTCAACAAAAACTGTGTATTTCACTTTATCATGCATCCAAAAGGTAAGTTAGGGTGGATCTATGTAACTTATTTGGCAACTCAAGTATTTACAAAAATGATAAGTCATATTGTACAGTGATGCTTGGCTTGGCTCCTCATCCACCTGCAGAGTTGTTCCAGGACATGTGCTACAGGTGGGGACACCAGATGAGAACCTATTGGCTTTTAGGTTCAACAACCTAATTTGTATCCAGGTACAGGGATCCACTGCCTTTCCTCCCCTGAAACACCTGCCTCGTCTGCTTTACAGGATGTAGATAGAGAGCATACTCTTTCCATCCCACGCCTCTCAATCTGACATACATGAGTGTTTCGTTAGATGGGGCTTCATACTTTATTTAAGGGATCAGTGCACAGGGAATTCTTGTTTTCAGAAGTCATTGAAAGCTCATTCTAGTAAAACCATGTCCACCAGAATATATGATTTGCACCCTTTATGGAAGCACCAAAGTCTTTCATGTGCTTGATTTTGTCAGCCTTCGCTATCCACAAAGCCATGGAAGGAGCTTGTGGGTGTATCCACAGTTGCTGGATGCAGTTCTTCAATGCAGCAAATAAGTGTGGCAGATTGAATTTCCTATAAACATTTTAAGGGATGGTGTTGTGGTGGAGCAAAAAGGACGGGTCGCTTGGTGCATTTTGTGAGATGTGTTGTAGATTGTGCCAAAGGGTCCTGCAGGACCAAAATATGTGTAAGATATCGCCTCTCCCCGACCCACATCTCCAACATTTGGTCCCAGTTCTTGTTGTTACATTGGACCTGTTAGTAATTATTTTACTGTTGCCCTCCTGTTAAAGGGTATTATTCATATAGGGATTATGTATGCATGTGATGAACATAAGTGATGATTGATTTTCTATATATACATTTGTTCAGTATGGGAATATACGCAATGAGATTAGAGTCTGTGGTTCAGGTTGTATTTGCTATACATCTGTTACTGATCAAGCAGAAATGCTTAGAACCTCCCACATTCCTTATTATCAAGAAAGACTGTGAAATATTCTAAATCAAAGTTTATGAAGTGTTTCAAAGTATGTATTATATCTCTTTATTGTAATATTTCTTGATTAAGTTATTCGTATAAGAAAGAACATTGTATTATGTATAAATATTGGTATTTGTAACATTATATAGTTTATTAGAATGTATTATTGCATTCAACACAAGAATCCTCTATTCCCATCCCCCTTGAAACCTTATGGTTTGTCTAAAGTTTCAGATTACACTTGGACCTAGATGGCCGGAGAGGAGGGGGGGGGGTGGAGCACAAAGGACTCACACTGACACACACGCTGACTTGGTGGACACACACTCGGACACACGCGGTCATGGAGGGACACACAGACACATAGACATGAGACTAACATTTTAAACACATACACAAGAACTTATTAATACATCTACATATTTCTATACTTTAGTTTTATGCTATTATTTTGTAATCATTTGTAACTTTGTAATTAAACACATTTATGAGTTTCAAGCAAGAACGGAAGCTATTTTTCCTCTTTTAAACTTTTCACCCTAAGAACAAGAATATGAATATGACATAAAAATATGACATCAAATATCCCCCCTCAGATTGCTTTTGGATATCCGGAAGGTTTAAAACTTCCTGTATCCCTAATTGATGAGAAAGAAAATAGGATATTTTGTACTCACTGTACAGTCCCCAAGAAAAGAATTCTATGGCGAGTAGAAAAGAAATCCTATTTACAGCGAGTTATCCTTAAACATGCAAAAAGCACCTAAAAAGCCACAACAAGATGGTGTCGGACCTCGGCAAACGTAATCATAAAGATGCCCTTGTGGTAAATTTTACATGTTTGGTCTGGTTCAAGAACGGCCTAGAAGGTCATACTGGTTCCCTAGTGAAACATCAGAGAGAAAGCAATTTTTCTCTTTAATATTCTCCCTATAAAAGTTTCTTGTTGAATATGCTGGGGAGAAATATCCACCTTTTTCACTTATGTTTTCATTGTTTTCTCAGCGTCCGTATTGATTTGCAGCAGTACGAATGGCTAATGCCGGCTGCCAGGGTAATAGGCCACAATACAGCAGAATCTTCTTTTTTGTTCCCCCCAGCCTCTTCAACACAGGACTTACACTGAGTGGCCAGATTATTATGACCACCCCATCAGTACTTTGTTGGGCCGCCTCCTGACTCCACGAGATGTTGAAAGGTGATGCGAGGAATCTGACACTGCACTGTTGCCCTTCTGTTGTCTTGTACCAGCCTTGCCACTCTCCGTTCTGCCCTAACATTGACTAGTCGCTGGCGGCCACAATTCGCACGTTCAGACCCAGATTTTCAGCTGACAGTCCAGTCTTTAAACACTTTAACAACAGCTGCTCTTGAACATTTAACGAATTCTGCTTTTTTGCTGATACTCGCTCCATGGCTCCGAGGCCCAACAATCATCCCACGTACAAAGGCTGTTAAATCGCGTTGTTTCCCCATATCTTCAGAAACAAATCACTTCTTCTGTTGTGGTAAACAACCTGCTTCCCTATTTATAATGGTCTGGCCCTCTAGCAACTTCAGCGCCAAATTATAGCTAATTAGCCTACAAACATCAGATGGTCATAATAATCTGGCCACTAATAATCTGGCCACTCAGTGTATATTCCTGACATGATTTGCCTCCTTATGAACTCAATAAGAAAACAATTTTACAAACCAATATATATTGAAGAATGTTGCATTTATAACTCACCATTTATCTTTTCATTGATTATTTCTGAAATTGTCTTCTTGTTTACAGTGAAGAATCTTGTCCACGATTGATCTCCCTGCCATTCCTGTAAGAGTTATTAAACTTTCTATGTTGTAGCATGTAGATTGTACCATACATTTCTAATACTGGGAATGAAGCACTTTCTCATATCTTCTAGCTGGAATGACAAATCCCAGAATCTACATTATATGATGTTTCGTATGTTGGAAAGCTCCGAATCAAAGATGTTCATTTTCAGACAACCAACAGATACAACAAGGTATTACTAGAACCTAACCTCCAAGTTGGTTAGTCTTCATTCTGTTTTGATATGATCATTCTTGAATAGATATTCCTAATGAAATTATACATCCAGCATACTTGTATGAGTCTGTTTACACAGCAAATGGATTGTTATTAAAGGGACATTTGAGGGCCAGTTCACACCATATGCAGTTGTGATGCATCCCAATGCTTTCCTATGGGCTTTCTTGTGCTTTATTCACACCATTGCAGTCTGTTCAGATGCAGTCAGAAAAAGTACTGCTTGTCCTATTTTACCTGTATTGAAACGCATAAAAACTCACCGGAACGCATACAAAAAAAAGAATTGATTGTGGCATCATCCAGGGACATCCAGGGGGAAAAAAACGGATCACAATGCAACTGCGCAGACGCACGCAGTAGTGATGCAGTTTCTGGTGTGAACTAACCCTTAAACGTTTGTGATCAACGTTAATGTATTGTTTTTACGTTGATTATAAGTTTATAATAATACGATTAGAGCTATTTTCCTATTTATATACAGTACAATCATCATTTTACAAAGAAACATTTATTACAGTGCGTGTGTCTGACAGTATTATGGATTTTCTAAAAAGATCACATCTCCTGGTTCTAAATGGCGGAATAATGTGACCATAATGAATGGGGTTGGAGTGCAGAGCTGTATTATCTATTTGAGTTGACTTTGATATTTTTGCTTTTTTGGCATTCTAGAGCTACAAATGATTTTCTGGCAGTTGAGTTTGGACACTCGCTAAATAGAAGCACAGATGAGAATTCCGAAAAAAGGTGAGTATAAGAAGTCTAGCATACAATCCTCTACCAAAACCAGCCGACCTTCCAAAATATGTTCTTTTTATAAAGTGGAACTGCCATGCAGTTTTTAAAGTTTGTATTGTATATTTAGTACATCCCATACTTATATTTTTGTCATTTCAATTACAAAGTAAGAGATGATTAACACTTTGTCTTTGTGTGGTATGCTGCTTCTGGCCCTCTTACATATATTCCAATTATGCAGTAAGAGTGCCATTCATAATGATGGGCCTATAGGAAGTTGCAGGAAGGGCAGCACTAGAGCGTCGCTACCAGAAAGTTACACCTTGAGAACATATTTCATTATCTCCCCAACCTAGAAAATGATATGAAAACAATACTGCTATTTTTATTTCTTTCGCAGCCCGCTCTGATCTACTATAAGAACTGACAAGTATTAGAGCTATATTTATGTCCAAAGCTGCAGAAGCAAAAACATTTGGATAGCACTTTCCAACTGTTTTTCATAGTACCAGGTCTGTTTTTAAAATGATAGCTGGAGTATTAGTATGACCTTTAAGCAGCCCTTTGTTATGTCCAAGCATAACCATTTTTTGGACATGCTTCTTTAATTCACTGGAGCCTAAATATTCAGTAATTAGATAAACCTTCCACTCCCTTCCAGAAAAAAAAAAAGGTATTTAATGACGAGCACATTTTGAAGAGTATCTGATGAGGCATCATGGATGTGTTCTACAAGTGATGAGCAGGGCCTGGGAGATGAGGGACAGACACACTGAGATGACATTTTAATTTAAATTTCTTGGCTTGGGGATGTCCAAATCTGTCCGTCACCAATAAGGAAAGTTTCATGAAAGATGTAAGAGTGGATAATCTAATAAATTGCGCACTTATTCATTTAATAATCATTATAATTCTATTTTTCAGTCACTACAGCTGTCTGGATGCACGTTTCTTCGAAGATGATGTTATAACTGTAATAATTAAAGATAACATGGGAACTGAGGGAAAAGACAGGGTATTGGCTCAGATCCCTTTGTCTTCTGTATTCTCTAATGAAGAGACAGACTACCAGTTCAGCAGGGACAAAAGTAAGAGGTAAGCAATTTAACAGAGAACTTTCTCCATGCCATATGAGCTCTTCGTTAAACTGTAGCAGAAAAGCATGTGCAAATCTTATCAAAACTACTTTCAAGGTCCAGTGGAAACCCCCCCCCTCTGTCCAGGATGGAGAGAGCAGAGCTCGGGGTAGGATAAGATGACATGTAAGCTTTCACAGTCAGGGCCCTCCTTATCATCTTGTCTTGATTTGTAATGTAGCTGTAATGTCCTCTTTATATTGTAAAGTGCAGAACAAACTTGGGGCTATATGAATCCTGAATACTAATGTACAGGGATGTCTGCCCTGTGAGGATACACAGCAAGGTCCTGCCAGAGTGGTGGGCCAGAGCAGATGATGTGCTTTTTCAGTTCCAGGTCATTTCTCTGATGTGTAGAAGTGGGAGAGGTATTGTGCTGAAGAGGGCCCTACAGACCTCTCGGAACTTGCATCTGATCATTCTTTCTTGTATATTGAGGAACACAGAAAGTCAACCTTTGGGTTATCTTGCTGCCTACAATAGGATTGGACACCGGCAAGCATAAAAAATTGTAGGCCAGCCAGCATGCCAGTATTTATTTATTTTTTATAGCAAAGTGATGCTGAGAACATGATGATCATAAACACACATGAGTGAGACCTATGTCGCTCAATGGACTCCAAGAAAAGGATTTTATGTTCAGTATAAAAAAAATCCTATTTTTTTTTTTTCTTCCTCCTTTGTGTCTATACAAACTGCTACTGCAAATCTATTTAAATAAAGTTTAAAACGATTGACAGTCTGTCATGTATTGTATTCATATAAGAGCCATCATTTGTCACTCGGATTCTGTGTATTTGAGCTGATCATGTGATTTTATTTACTTGACATGCTACAGGCTGGAAGAGCAGCATGCTGACATACCTACCCACACCTTCTTTCTGGAGGGCCAGTGGAGATTACTGGAAAACATGAAAGCTCAGTATGTGTCTGTGAATGGGATACGCAAGGTGGCTTGTGTGGTAAGTGTTCGCTTAAATCCCCATTTGTTCAATACTTACTGCTCGACCTGGGAAATGATCCAAAGTAATATTGATGCAGATTATTCATCGTAAGCAGATTTAAATAGTTATCATAACCGCCCTTCTGCTGCATGAGGCAAAATAAAGACACCCTTCTCATTGGTCAGCGTGGTCAGGTGTTTGCGCTGACCAATGAGTGCTCATCATTTGCAAGCATAATTTGACATGCAGTTGTGTGAAAAAGTGTTGGCCCCCTTCCTGATTTTTCATTGTTTTGCACATTTCTCACACTTTGTTTCAGATCATTAAACAAATTTAAATATTAGTCAGATAACACAAGTAAACACAACATGCAGTATTTAAAGGAAGGTTTTTATTGTTAAGGGAAAACAAAATCCAAACCCACATGGCCACGTGTGAAAAAGTGTTTGCCCCTAAACCTAATAACTGGTTGGGCCATCCTTTAGCAGCAAGAACTGCAATCAAGCGTTTGCGATAACTTGCAACGAGTCTATTACAGCGCTGTGCAGGAATTTTGGTCCACTCATCTTTGCAGAATTGTTGTAATTCAGCCACATTGGAAGGTTTTCAAGCATGAACCGCCTTTTTAAGGTCATGCCACAGCATCTCAATAGGATTCAGGTCAGGACTTTGACTAGGCCACTCCAGTCTTAAACACGAGTGCAAAAAATGAAAAAAAGGCCTCGGTCATAAAGGGGTTAAACAAAATCTATTGCTGTGTAATCCTTATATTTGTTCTTGTCCTGGTAGCTAAGTTCCAACCTGCGCCATGTCCGAGTTTTTGAGATGGATGTGGAAGATGACGGAGAAGCTGAAGAAGAGGATGTGGAGGAGCAGTCTCATGCTCAGGATATTACTGAGGAAGAGGGAGAGTTGACTCATTCCACCTATGAGATGAAAGATGCTTCTCCACAAGTTGCAGATGTAACAGAGGAAAGCTTGGAGTCTTAAGTTCCTTTCAAAATGCTAAATGTAATTTTGATGTTTTTATAGTATCGACTCTGAGAGCCAGAAAATAAACGGGAATATTTTGTAAAATCGTTTGCATGTTTTGTTTGTAAACAGTTATGAGCTGGAGACAGACAGCCAGCCTCGCCAAGCTTTATATTAGTATTAGATGCATCACACGGTTTCCTGTAGCCTTTGCATTCTCTCCTCGGCCCAGGTCTCAGGGCAAGCCTGAGGAGCCTAATCTGTTGCTGTTAGGAGGTGGGGCCAGGCTATTTAGGAGACTGGTATCAGTATTTGCTTAGCACTGATGGCAACCTGAGCTGCCAACGGTGAGGCAGGCCTAGGAAACTGGGTTGAGAGTACTCCAGACCTGAGCATCCTCCCACACTTTGCAGAGAGAAAGTGCAAACCACTCCTCCTGGCAATGGAGGACTAACGCTGCAAAAGATGCTGAACCTCAAGGCAAAGAAACTGGAAAGGAGCAATCACTCCTCAGCCTTTAACCCCTTCATGACTGAGGCCCTTTTCATTTTTTGCACCCATGTTATATTCCACATTTTAGGCCTGAAAATGACGTAAAACCCCCCAACATTATATATTTTCTGAATGCCAAGACCCTATAGAATAAAATGGTGGTAGTTGAAATTTTTTATGTTGCGCAATATTAGCGCAACTCCTTTATTAAACCCCAAAAGTTAGTGACAAATTTAATTAAATGCCCCAAAACAACCAATTACCCATTTTTATAATGAAATATAAAAGATGAGGTTACAACAAGTAAAACGATACCCAACATGCCCAGTTTACAAATTGCGTGCGACCGTGAAACTCGGCCCCTTCTTCGGGACACAGAAGCGATCTGGCGACAGGTAAGTCGCCAGGATCGCTTCTGTTGTAAAGCCGACAGTCGGCTCTACAAGTTTAAACAGAGTCCCGGCGGCAAAAGTCGCCGGGAGTCTGTTTAAACAGCCCCGATGCTGGCGACGTACACTGTACGTCGTCAGTCACGGAGGGGTTAAAGAAATCAGTGCATGGGGATGAGCAGAGGGATGGTGGGTGGGAGTGAGGTACGTTCTATGCATGAAGTGTTGGGTGTTGTAGAGCAAAGCTTAGAACTCTCATAGTACCTGGATGGCCCCAAGGCAGAATGGCTAAATAAAAGGTTTATTTCTGCTTCACGGAAATAAAAATAGAAACATTTTTTCCCCTTTTAACCTTTTATTTCACAGAAGAGTGTAAACACTTTGCAAAACTATTCCCATACAAAGAATTCATTAGAATACTTCATTGCATGTGTATACATTAAGTTTAAGCGATGACATGTTGCAGACCCTTACGCTGCAGCTGAGGATCTCTGTGGCAGAAAGCCCAGGTGTGTCCATACAGATACAGCCTGTTCCCATTGACCGGCCATCAGCAACAATCTACATGTAAATCATACTTGGAAGGATTACCTGCAGTTCCGAATCCATATGTTCCTGTCACCAGAGTTCCCAGCTGCAGCCTAAAGCTGTGTGAATGGGGCCTTAGGCTGGATTCACACCGTAACACCCTGATGTGCATTGTGGTGTGTGCTGCTTGGCTGAAAACAATGCTAGAACCTTTCTTGGCGCATTAGACCGCCTATTCAAAAAGGTGCTCTTTACGCAACACTCCAGACCATCGTGGTGTGAACAGACTCCTAAAGGGTGATTTTTCGGGTGACACCCCTCCACACTGACCTGTTCCCTACAGTGACTAACAGTCCTAAACACAGCAGCCTTCATGAGAAATATTACACTCCAACTTGGCTCTGTAATCCTGTGGCAAGCTAAAGCCATCAATACAGGAATGGTATAGGCTCTCATCTTATAGTGGATCTAAATTCTGGTCCCCATTAGAGGCACAAACTTGCCTGTGCACCCTAACAAGGAGATTTAACAGTGCGCTGGGCCCCTATACTGGGCTGCAGATGGCGGCAAGTCTTTAACGCAGAAAAAAGGATGACCGCACGCACAAGGCAAAAGGGCTTCAGACCACATCATCTAATTCTGAGTTTAGGCAACATGACCTGGGAACTGAGGCAGACAGGTAGGTGTTCCATCCTAAAAGACCTACCCAGCCACCTTTAAAGTAGTATTAAACTCTCAATAATGAATCCAGATCAAACACGTATACATTGCACAGCAAATAATTGCTTTACTTTCTCCCCCCCCAATACCTACAATCATGTTTCTAAACAGCTGCTTCCAAGTCTCTCTGCTCAGCTTCCCTGAACTTCCTATCCAGTACAAGATCAGAGCCGTGTCCAGCAACTGGTCATCTACTAGCTGGGGGGAGAGACACACACACACACACACACGGGTGACTGCATAGCACTCTGCTTGAGAAAGGAGTCACTCTAAAACAGGAAGTCAGGACCAGTGCTCAGGGGACCAGCTGACTCTGCAGGAAAACAAACTTTTAAATATCAAGGAGCAGCATCCATTGTAAGCGATTTCAGAAGCATTTGACATAACTTAACATCCTTGTGAGTTTAATCATTTAAAGTAGACTGTAACCTCATTTGTATCTGCTTAAAGTGAAAAGCACCAGCTTAGATGGAGATCGCAGGCTCAGAGTTTCATGTAGCAGGGAATCATCGATGAGTGATAAGAGGGCGACTTTCCCTTTTATTTCTGTCAATATTCATACAAGGCTTTTGTTTCAATATAAGGCAAAACTTGTATCTCCCGTCCTCCTCCTCCTGACGCCCTCGGAGCCGGTCCCGGGATCCAAGATGGGGCAGCGGATCCCACGAATGGGGGGTGGGGCGGTGCCGCGAACGAGCACATATAGGCGATCGGCGGGCTATGGACCCGCTGATCGCCTATATGTGAAACACCCGGTACCGGGTGTTCGCATTGGACGGGTCTTTCCTGCCCGTGCGTGCCCGCTAGGGGGCGCGCGCAAGCAGAAAAAAATTGCCGTCTGGAGACGGCAACCCGCAGATGCTGCAGTGCCGTCCGTCCGTTTTTTTACTACGGGCGGACGGCAAGAGGTTAAAAAGGATCCAATCATGAACAAAATATGGCAGCTACCATCAACTTGTTATTGAAGGTGCAACTTCCAGGGCTGGCATCCATACTTGGCAAGTTACTGACCATGAACAAGTCTGCACAAAGCTGGTCACTGATCTGGAACAAGCATGTGACACCTGATAGAAGGGCCATGGCACCAGCTTATACCTTTATAAACAAGTCAGAACTGGCACCTCCCATATTTCTTGCAAGCTGAACTCCAGGAAAACCTCAAAATATGGTTTCATTGCATCCATGTGAACGGTCTTACCTGCCACAATATTTGTATTTTATTTAGTCCATGTTAAAATCCCGGCACCTCTGCCAGATATGGATAAAACGTGCAATATTTGACTCAATCCTAATTAAACAATATCAGTGTCCGTCATTTCAAGTGGATATTGTCTTTGCTGAACACATGTAATGATATTTCAATAAACACTTCTGACTTTTCTATCCCCTGCCTGAAGCTTAGCTTTGATTGTGTAATGCTAAAAGTCTGCAACCAACACTTACATTGCAGAAACAAAATAATATATACATCCTGGTTTACAAACCCTGATAGGTGCTCAAAAGAAGAGTGCAAATAGGTTTCTTCACAGTAAACAGATTCAGCATAGCGTCTGGTACAATTTTGAGTCACTTCCCTGCCATTAATGACCAACTTTTTAGCTTGAAGTCTTCATTTTCTCTGCATGTTCACGCTCCTATGAAATGCAGATCCCATTTTGAATCAGGAACGGAAAATAAAAAGATAAATTGGTCCCAATTTCCCAAAGAGAAAACATTCAGAAATATTTTGTATCCAAGAAAAGATTTAATTCCCCTATCTAGAGTGCACATGGCACTCCAGGAAATGCAGACATTGCATCTCATCAGTGAAGGAAAATACATTAAATGTGATATACATATTCTTTTTACAATTTTGTAAACATCAAAACTGCAATTTGTAAATCAAGGACACACAATTCCAGCATATATGAAACCCTGTGGAAGGAATACTCTGCTCACCCCTTCCATAATGTCCACTTTCCCTGCCCTATACGGGTTTCTTGCCATAGAAAGAAGTTTACAGTGCTACCTGAAACCCGGACTTTATTCCTACAATTAACCGTAAATTGAATTACATTCATAGATTGTACATCCTTTGGCAACCATTAGAGACTGACAGTAGTTTTCACCCATTGCAGTTATTGTGCAAAACAGCAGCTTCAAACTGAAGACTTCAGATCCTCCCGTCCCTCTACCAGGAAGAGAAGAATGGCTTCCGGCAGTGAAAGGTCTGCGTGAATGCATTACTCAGGTGAACGATCCGGCCCTGACATCCATCGCTACTCCTTTCCACTACTACTTTTGGCATCTGTACCAACTGAATAGGACTCTTCTCATCCTTTAAAGCTTGTGTTAGATTTAAGATCTGCAGGAAATGGCACAACAGACATGTCATTAAAACGCATGTAAAAATAAACAAAACCTGAAAACAAATAGTCAATCCATCAGCTAGCAGGATTGTTTGTGATGCTTCTTTAACAATTCCCCATTATTATCATTAATTAAAAGGGACACAGGATGAAGTATTTAGATACATTGGGTTAAGCTGCTGCCTTAGAAGATTGGACACTGGCAAACAAAAGCTGTAAGGACAGCCCAGTATAACTACTCCCATCATGCCTCAGTTTTTTGCTATTGTCTTAGGAGAATGAACGTCTACTTTTTGGCCCTAGCGTTTCTATTTCAAAGACCCCTTGCCTCTCATTGCTTAGTGAAGTCCTTCATACAGGGTGTCACCCCTCTAAATCTCCCAGTGACAGCCTAGGATCTCTACCTGGCTCTGTTGGTGCCTCAGAACGTTTCAGGGATATCCCTCAGTCTACACTTCCTCACAAGTTTCTCTTCCTCGTTACCATCAACTCTACAAAAGGTGAGTTTCAGATTTGGCTGCGTTGAACTGTAAAACTTTTCTTGTCCTACAAGGAGACATGGGCGTCCTGAGGCCCAAGGCCTTCTTTCTTCCCAAAGTGGTTTCTTCTGTTCACCTTAGCCAGGACACTGTTCTCCCTTCTCTTTGGCCTGTTCCACAACACCGTAAGAAGATTTCCCTTCATTGTGTGGCTGTGGTATACGCTGTCTGAGTCTGTCTTTAGCTCTCCTGAGCAGGACCCTCCTAAACCTCCTGTACTGATTCCCTTTATTATGTAAAGTGCTGTGCAAACTGCCAGTGCTATCAAAATCATCCCTCAGCTACAGCTGCCCTTAGACCAGTGGTCTCAAAGTACCAGCCCACAAGCCGGTACTATGTGGCCCGCAGCCAGCTCACAAGTCTGGTACACGGTCACGGACCACGTACCAGACTTGCGGGAGCAGCTACACGGTCTGCATCTGTCGGATGCAGACCGCATAGCTGCTTCTGTGCCAGCACTATGATCCTTTCGGCCGGCGTCTTCTCTAAACGCAGGCCGAAAGGATTGATTAGATTAGTAATGTCTGCAGCAGACATTACTAATCGCCACTAGATAAATGGATCGGTGATCGTGGCACCGCTCACAGCCTCCTCCCTGCAACAAGGTAAGCCGGAGAGGGGGCTGTGTATTTAACTTACAGGTGGGTGGATGTGGGGTGGGGGTTAAGACTGGGAATTATATTGTTATATGTGGGGGGTGTTTGGGGGGACTGGGAATTTGATGTGTGTGTGTGTATTTTTTCATGTGTATGGGGTTGTATTATTTTATGTGCAGGGATAGGTTTTTTTTTTGGTTTTTTTATGTGAAGGGGGGTAGAAAGAGTATAAGTGTATTAGGCTCCAGTCACACCTGTATCTTTAGGAGCAATTATGGATTCCTACATCAGAAATCCCTAATCTGGTGTTTAAAAGCGGCAGCCGTCGCCTATTCAAGTTAATGATCAGGTGACAGAAGTTGCATATAAACTCCTGCACACCGCATGTAATGATATGTGATATTATTACATTCGGTTAGGAATCATTCTCCCTGGACGCAATGATTGTGTATCGAGGGAGAGTTGTTTTCTAACCGCATGTAATCATATCACATATCATTACATGCGGTGTGTAGGCATTTACATGCAACTGCTGTCACCTGATCATTAACTTGAATGGGTGACGGCGGCCGCGTGTAAACATCTGATTAGGGATTCCTGCTGCAGGAAAACGCAAGTTTCTGACGCAGGAATCCCTAATTGCACCTAAACTTACAGATATGAACAGGGCCTTATTGTGTGTATTGGGGTCCGTAGTACCATATCGCATATAGTTATATTTTATTTTAAAGGAGAACTATGGGGTAAGTGTTTTTCCCCATAGTTCCCCTAAGGGTCATGGGCTTTTTGTCGAGTGGCCCTCGAGGGAATTGAGTTTGAGACCCCTGCAACAGTCCAACTCTCTGTCCTTCCTGAAGGTCCTCGTAGGGAACAGTCGGCTTCTTGTTCCACTATCGCCAGGTGAATTCAACAACTCATCATTCAAGTCTATAGACTTAAGGCCAAGGCTCCACATTTCCCTGTCACATGGTATGCCATCAGGTTAGAGCTTCTTGGGCTTTTCAGCACCAGGCAACTTTTGAAAAGATTTGCACGGCTACCACCAGGTCTTCTGTACACACATTTATCGGGTTTTATCAGGTGCTCTTTCAGGCCCTCAGCTGATGCCAGCTTTAGTCGGAAGGTTCTTCAGGCAGCTCTGTTGAGCCCCCTCTGTAAACCTGCCAGTTTTCATGGGCTTGCTGATTTCCTTTGCCATGTTGCCAAAACCTCACTTGGACTGCTTTAGGATGTCCCAATGTACGCAATACTTCATCCTGCGCCACTTAATGTACAATCAAGAAATCAGGATTTTTTTAGTTGCAGTAAAATCCTTTTCTTAATGAATATTAAAAGGGACACCGGTCTCTCCCCTGTGTTCTTATGATCTACTCCGACTATTGGTTTGCTACAAAACCGAGACAGAATGGGAGCTGGAGGGGTTAAACTGGGCATTCCTTACAGCTTGTATGCACTTTCAAGTGCTGAACCGCCTCCCACCACCACTCTTTGGTCTATAGATGGTTATTTTTTTTACAAAGAATTACTGCGGTAGCTTCACATTAAAATGCCTCTCCTGTATTAATTAACTTGACAAAGTGCAAGCTTCACAGTTGATTTTTATTTCAATTCCTGCATGCCTGGGAAGGGGGTCCTGAAACCCGCTGTACACTGGGCCTTGACTAATGCTGAAAATAGCACTAAGCCTAGACTCCCTGTCATTCATTACAACACTGGGACCCTATTTGGCTAGTAGAAGTCCTGGCATTGGACTGTGGAATGGCAGGTACTGTGCTAAAAGAGACCCTGTCAAGTGTCTATATGTTTCAATCCAGCAGGTCTCTGCAACAGAAACAGTATAGTCTCACCTCTCCAGCAGCCTGTATTTATACCTTTCCTCTGTTCCCTTGCTGCATTCTCTGAAAAGCCTCTTCCACACTTGCAGGAGTGGTTAGATGTCTGCATCCCCCGACATGTGCTGGCGCCTTCTTTTGGCCCCCTGTGTCACTGCAGGGGAAGGAAGGAACCAGCTTGGATTCCCATGTCCCCCACTGGTTTCTTCCTGCTTCATCTTTCTACATCACTGCTAACTCCTGCAGGGATCCAGTGTCCTCCCCAGACACACAGGTACTCGCAGACACCACACCAGTATTGCTAATTTGCACACTTTGGGAAAGGTTTATTTGAAGGGTTTCACACACACATATAAAACAGATTCTTGCTGCTTGCGTACGCACGTACCTGCCCTCTCATTACAGACATCTGTTTCTCAAATGTTGCCTTGTCAAATCCCTTATCAGTCTGTAGGAGAAAAACAAGTTGTGACAATTAGCACTAAAAAAACGTAGGTAACAGAATAAACACTTTCACTGTAAGGAAATCCTACGGATAAGAAATGCCCGTGTACTTGCTTTAAACAGCTCATGAAGATCCTCACAAAGATCCTGCACAAAGTTCATATCGGAGATACGTGGAAGAATAAGGTCTCTCGTCTCCTGACTAAAAGGAACTTTAGCTTGTGGAAGCCAGACCCAGAGGAATGGATCTAGAGGAGGGAAAAACAAAATGCTCTTTTCACTAACGAGATACATAGTAAATGTGTCCTAGTAGAAGCTCTCTGCCCAATAATACAGTTCAGTTAACAATGGAGTGCGGGGGCGGGGGGGTTATTTTAGTTTTAGATATACAAGTGAGGTAGAAAAGTTTGATAAAAATAATTATACATGTACAAGGGGGTGGACCTATTTACACATTACATATACAAATGTTGCTATCACTTAAACTGCCATCATAGTCTTTGGAGGGGATACCATGTTTAAGAGGAATAGGGATCAGCACAGCAGGTTCAACGCTGAAAAACTGCGAACCCGCAAACCCAGTAGGTTGGTAGAGTGCGTTTGTGGGTGAAAAGCAGATGAATGAATTCATGTAAAATAACAAGCCATCAATCTATTCAGAAATAGAAACCCAAATACTTGCATGCTCTCCACTCATCTGGATGTTTGAATGGAAATGCCAGACCATTATCTATGGCTGCAACTTTTATAACCGGCTCTTTTTCCGTCCACTCCTAAAATCAGAACAAGAAGCATTAAAATGCCACGTGACAAACATCATTCAAAATAAGCTAAAAATTGAAAGTGCATTTCCACTTTTGCAGCCAAATCAGGAGAACCCCCCACTTCATATTTGTTACACTTCAACCATCATATAGCAGAACATTAGCACGAAATATTGCTCTTTTCTGAAAGCTTGGCTTCCCTTTCTCTGGAATGTTTATGAGGGGGCTATGGAGTAATGCTTGCCATAGTTAACCCTGTATGTACAGCGCTAACAGATTTCATTATCAGTTCACTAGCTGTCCTAAAAGAAAATAGGATTTTTGTACTCACCGTAAAATCCTTTTCTCTCCGTTCATTGAAGGACACAGGGCAACAGATCGTAGATCCTGAATGGTAGGGTATATCGCCACCTGCAGGAGTAGGACGCTAGGCACATAACTAAAAGACAAGACAGCCTAGGGGCCGTCCCTGCTGGTGGCCCAACCCCTCACTTGTTGACAAGTCTCCAGTAAGTAACTAGCAGTTAGGAGTGTACACCCCCATAAAAGAGGGCGGGACCTGTGTCCTTCAATGAACGGAGAGAAAAAGGATTTTCTCTCAAAAATCCTATTTTCTCTCCCGTTCATTGAAGGACACAGGGCAACAGATCGTAGATCCTGAATGGTAGGGACGTCACCAAGCAGTAACACACTGAGGGATGGGCAACAACAAACAAAACACCCAAAAGACCCCTCAAAGCACAGCCTGCAACACTTTGCGCCCCAAACCAGCATCCGCCGATGCTAACACGTCCACCTTGTAAAACTTAACAAAGGTGTGAACAGAAGACCAAGTAGCGGCCTTACAAACCTGAGAAACCGAGGCCCCATGACGAAAGGCCCAGGAAGCCCCCACAGCCCTATTAGAATGGGCAGTGACAGGGAAAGGAGGCTCACGCCCCTTAACAGCGTACGCCTGAATAACCACATTGCGAATCCACCTATATATGGTAGCCGCCTACGCGGCCCGACCCTTACGAGGGCCCTCCGTGAGCACGAACAAGGAGTCCGTCGCACGAAAAGAAGCCGTAGCTTCCAAATAGACACGAAGAGCGCGAACCACATCCAAACAGTGGAGCGCACGTTCCTTCCTATGAACCGGCTTCGAGCACAGGGAAGGTAAGACAATGTCCTCATTCAGATGGAATGCCGACACAACCTTAGGCAGGAAGGGCGGCCTAGGATGGAGAACCGCCTTGTCCCTATGCAACACCAGCAACGGAGACTTGCAGGACAAGGCAGCCAATTCCAACACCCGCCGCACGGAAGTGATGGCCACCAAAAAGGCAAGGACAAAAGCGGAATCTCCCGAAGAGGCTCAAAAAGGGAGATTCCTGCAACATGGAAAGCACGAGATTCAAGTCCCACGGCGCCAAAGGCGAGCGGACAGGGGGAGCAATGCGCGTCACCCCCTGAACAAAGGTGCAAACCAGAGCATTGAAGATCGGGGGGCAGAGGCAGACGCCACGGGGCGTCCACCACCAGCTGAACCACGTCCACGTACCACGCTCTCCGAGGCCACGAGGACGACGGCGACGCCCTCGACCGCGATCCGACGCAGCAGACGAGGCAACAGATACAGTGGAGGAAAGGTGTAAATCAGACCGTAATGACCCCAAGGAGCCACCAGGGCATCCACGTCCTCCGCCCAGGGATCCAGGGCCCGGGCCACAAACCTGTCCACCTTCCGGTTGAACCGATACGCCAGAAGATCCACCTCCGGCGTCCCCCAGCGACGACAGAGCTGCTGAAAAACCTCCGGGTGTAGAGACCACTCCCCCGGATCCACCGACTGTCGACTGAGGTAATCAGCCTGCCAATTGTCCACTCCCGGGATGCAGACCGCCGAGAGAGCCAGGACTCGATTTTCCGCCCAGGAGAGAATCCCAAACACCTTCCGACCCGCGGCCACACTTTTTGTGCCGTCCTGGTGGTTGATGTAAGCCACTGCGGTGGCGTTGTCCGACTGGACCCGGACTGCCAGACCTTGGAGCCGGGCTGACCAATGAAGGAGAGAAAGGCGAATCGCCCGAAGTTCCAACACATTTATCGACAGACGGGACTCCTCCGGCGACCAACGACCCTGCACGGTCAAGGAGCCCAGGACCCCGCCCCAAAAGGCTGGCGTCCGTGGTGACCACCGTCCAATGCACAGGAAGGAAAGACTTCCCCTGCACCAAGACCGGAGATTGAAGCCCCCACCGCAGGGAGGCCCTCGCCTCCCGAGAGATCCGAATCTCCCTGTCCAAGGACAGGGGGGACTTGTCCCACTGCACCAGGATGTTCCTCTGCAGGGTCCTGGTATGATGTTGCGCAAAGGGCACCGCCTCGAAGGAGGCCACCATGAGACCCAGGACCTGCAAGCAAACCACTGGCGAGTCCTCAGTAGCCGGACCTTGGAACGGAGCCTCAGGAGCTTGTCCCGAGGAAGAAAGACCTGGGCCGCGACAGTGTCCAGAACCAAACCCAGATACTCCAGGCGTGGTGAAGGCACCAGGCAAGATTTTCGCAGGTTTAGAAGCCACCCAAACTCCTCCAAAGGACCGCACCGTGACCCCCAGAGCCGTCACCATAGAAGACTGCGACTCCGCCCATAGGAGCAGGTCGTCCAGGTACCCCACGATCGAAACCCCCCGACAAACGCAACAGCGTCAGGATCGGAGCTAACACCTTGGTGAACACACGTGGGGCCGACGCCAGCCCGAAGGGCAGCGGCACAAACTGAAAATGGTCCTCCCCCACCGCGAAACGATATAGCTGATGAGACTCGCAAACGGGTACATGAAGGTATGCATCCCGGATATCGATGGAGGCCAGCAGATCTCCCTGACGGAGCCATGCAACCACGGACCGGATCGACTCCATCCGGAACCGACGGACCCGCACAAAGGTGTTCAAGCGTTTGAGGTCCAGGATGGGCACATCCTGGACCTCATTCTGTTTCTTGGGCACAGTAAACAGGTTTGAATAAAACCCTTTGAATCTTTCCGAGGACGGAACTGGCACAATCACCCCCCTGGGACAAAAGGTCCGCCACAGCGCGACGGAGATTCGCCAACCGCGAAGGATAGAGGCGCGTGTTGGACGGGAAAAAAACGTTTCCCGGACGGGACGGAAACTCGATCTTGTAGCACAAAGAAACCAGCTCCCAGACCCAAGAGTCGGAAACGTGGGCCAGCCAAAAATCTGCAAAGAGCCGAAGGCGCCCCCCCACCCTGGGACCCAGAGTCGGGGCCCGACCTTCATGCGGACTGGGGCTTGCCGGCGGGCTTAGCAGACTTGGGTTGCCACGGACGCTTGG